GATGTGTTTAATATAACAAATTCTAATCGTTGAATTTTGCTAGTACTAGCCATTTATTGTAATAACCTTTCCTTTCATTATAATATTATACATTTACCATTGGTAGTCAGTTGTGAAATTTTATTTGTACCTATCTAATTATCAGAGTTGGGTAAGTTACTTTTAAAAAGTAATCAAGTTACTTTACTCGTTACTAAAGAGATAAATGTAATTAGGTACTTTAATCGTTACTCAAATAAAATTACTTTACTTTTCAAACAGGAAAGTAACTCATTACTTTCTTGTTAGAAAAATAAAATTTTTTTTTAAATTTCTAGGCAATTATCTTCTGCAGGCAAATTGTACAATCAAATTCTTTATAAAACCTATATAGTTAATAGGATCATATAAAATGTAGTCTTCCACACAAGCTATATTCATAGACGACCTATTTAAAAGAAACAAATAAATAATAAATTTAATTAACTGTTCTCGTGATTTACGGTGCAATTAGACATTACAAATGTCAAATCCATTGAAAACTGAAATGTGCTGAGTAAAAATTAAATATATATATTATATGTTATTAGATCGGTAAACATAATAATACCGGCATCATACATATATTTTTTTTCAATTCGCAATAGGTAGGTAGGTACCTAATAATTCGAAAGTGTAACGCATTATTCGATAGAAATTACTTTTAAAAAGTAATTTATTCTGATTCTTGATTTATTCTGTGATATAATATTAAAAATTTAAATATTTTTAAATTAAGCGGCCAGTGGTAATGTAATTTGTTGTTTATTCCAAACCGAACTGATATGATATTTTTCAGCCATGATAGTTGTAGTGATATAAACCGTTTTTATTACGAGCGTCTAGAGACGTCTAGAGCGTCTAACCGGTTTAAAATTATCCCATATTATCCCGCACCGGGATAATGAACCATGTAAATGATATGGTCCAAACATCCCGGTGCATTTTTTTTCACACCGGTTTAGTCTAGCGAATTTCTATACTGTCTCATATGTCTATGCTATTATCTATGGTTTTAAGACCGTGATAAAATCTATAAACATAACCTCAATTGTATGTCCAACATTTAAATTGGTAACCGTCCCTGACCATTATCGCAATTATATTTAATAATTTGTTATCAAAATTTAACAAATCACGATTATTGATAAAGCAAATTTCTCTATGTTATTTTCTCAAATTTGTATCATTTTTTGAATATTCATTAAACTGAATATTAATGATAATTAATTTCAGCTCTTCCGAATATATAGGTTTAATGCGTCGCCACCTTCCGGAACTTGGTCGGAAAAATGAAAAACGGCGCATGGGTACCTGCACGCGGTGGTACGAAAAAATAGTCCCCTGGGCTGTTCGGTCGCATATTACTATGTCCCCGGAAGCTTTGAACAAATTTGAATTATAAACATCATATAGAGAATTTTCCTGGCTTTCCGAATATATAGGTTTAATGCGTCGCCACCTTCCGGAACTTGGTCGGAAAAATGAAAAACGGCACATGGGTACCTGCACGCGGTGGTACGAAAAAATAGTCCCCTGGGCTGTTCGGTCGCATTAATATACGGGCACATAATGATGTAAGTGAATTTCATGGCGCCATCTTGTGGTTGATGGTATTACAAATGTCGGGTGCCTTGAATATAATAAAACGCAACCCGGCATACAAGGCCTGTTATCACTAGTCGTCCGAGAAAATAGTCCCCTAGCTATAGTCCCCCAACTTCACACCCGTATGAAAGACCGTTCTATTCAAGGCATTTTGTCTAAAGCTCGCAAAGTAAATACATTATAAAGTCAAATGATTTATGTAGATTTTGTTGTGCTTTATAAATTATTGTACTTTTTTGTAGTAAATATAATAATATTACTTAACCTACTTGTCAAAAAACTAATAATTTTAGATTTTGGTTTAGTTTATGATTATGGTTATATATTATATACTTATCTAATACAATATATTTACAATGGCAAGTTTTAAAAATTTTAAATATTTTTAATTGTTTTGTTAAGGCAATGAAAACTTTAAGAACACAAACATACGCAGCCTGGTTGAAAAGGGAAGGATTAAAGCAGGCAATTTTGGACATTGAAACTAGGTGGAATAGTACATTCAATATGTTGTACAGACTTATAGAACTCAAACAATTTTGTGTGACTAATGAACAAATAATCTTATCTTCTAATGATTGGTTGGAAAGATAGTAAGTTGTTATATATGTTGTCAGTAAGAGTCTAAAATTTATGAAATTGTTACGAATTTACCAGGTTACAGCTTTAGAGCCAGCTAAAATTGCCACAGTCCAAATGCAATCAAACTCGTTAACTCCCGGTGATGTATATGGTATTTGGTTAAAGACTGAAATGTCTTTATCAAAGATAAATATTCCACTCTCAAAAAACTTAATAAAAAATATGGCTGAACGACAAAAACACATTTTTATGAATCCTGTATTTGAATCAGGTACCTATGACTTATGAGATAATGTAAATTGTTATTAAATCATGTTCTATAACATTATTAACTAATAACTGTTAAGTAATAACGTTGATTATGCATAGAAATATGTGTAATCAATAGTAATAAGTAATAACTAATACCTACATAGTTCAGTAGGTATTCAATTTTATACCATTTATCTTAAATTCTAATGAGTAATAACTAATAGATAATTAAATATATATATATATATATTTTAGCAATTTATCTTGATCCACGCTATCAACATTTAATGTCTGTTACATCAAAAACCAACGCTGTACTTCATTTAGTGAATACTTATAATTTAATGAAAAACATAAAAAATAATAATGATTCAGTCCAAGACCAAGATACTGATGAATCTATAACAGAAATTAGTGAAACTACTAATGAAAATATAGAAACAGGATTGGAGGAAAATGATCCTAATAATTTTCAATTATACTTGCAATCACTATCACAAAGTGTACCTTCATCATCTCAATCTTCTTCATCTAACACAGATACTGTTTCTATTTCAATCTTGTCACTCCTGAATTTATATGATAACCAACCTATACTACCACATACAGAAAGTATTTTGTCTTACTGGGAAAGTAAAAAGTTTGAATGCCCTGAACTGTATGCTCTTTCTCATGTGGTTATGGCTGTTCCTACAACACAGGTATTATAATTTATCATTTATGTTTACCAACAATAAATTATAAATGTCATAATTATTTAGTTAAAATTCATATTTTTAGATAATAATTTTAAAATATTTATGTCTAAAGTATAAAGTATAAACTAAAGATTAAACTATTAGAGAATCCAAGAAATCCAATTATTTTTATTATTTTGATTTAGGTATCAGTAGAAGGCTCATTTTCGTCTCTCAAGTTTGTGTTTGGAGATTTAAGATCCAGATTGGGCTCAGAACTACTGGAGAAAATAATGTTGATACGAGCAAATAAATAATGATGGTAATTATAAATTAATTAATTAATTAATTACAATCTACATGATTACAAAAGTACCTACATATCATATTATTTAATACTTGTTAAGTATTTACAAATTATTAATTATATATTTTATTATTTTATTTATACATTTAACAGACAGTTTTTTTGTTTATATACTTATTAGGTACCTATGAAGTAAAATGTAATTACATACCTACCAATAATTATAATTTATGTTTAAATAAACATTGGAATCCGCAGTTAAATGTATTTGCTTTTCTTAATAATTTAGCTGTATATATATATATTGTGGTTTATTTTTTATAAAAACAAGTATTGCCATATGAATAAATAAATAAATAAATTGTAAGTAATAGCTTATGAGTTATGATAGAAAAAGTATTAAATAAAATATTGTGTTTGTAAATGCCCAAAAGGGATGAAGGAGAATGAATTTCAACTCCTAAATTCATACATTGCATGAGACCATTATAAGCAAGCTATACCTAGTTAACATTTGATTATTTATAATAAATATAAATTTTATAAAGTTTCAATTTTGCATTATTTAGTTGCACATTTTTTTATGAAAATTAGACAAAATAAATAATGTCACAAATAAAGAAGATACTTCAGAATATAATGGTACCTATATTATGTGTATGTAAATGTATTCCCATTTCCTACTGTGTTCTAACTATTACAACACAGCCACACAGGTACTTAAATAATGATATATTATATTAATTGTAATGTTATTATTTATTAATTATTATTTATTGCCTATTGAGTATTGGTAATGAAAACGACAAATGTTATTAAAAATAGAAATATGTAAATTTCTAACAATCTCTTGGCCTGAAATAGTGTGTCTCTTGAATTAAAAATGTGTGTTTAACGTATGTATTTATACCTTTTTAAATAACAGAATTGTCAATACTCCAAAAACCTTTTTTAGTAACTATCCATTTAAATTTAAATTTATTATTTTGTTCAAATATCATAAGCATAACATGAGATGAGATTTAACATGACATATCATGAGATTTATTATACTGTAGTCTTTAATATAATGCAATATTATTGTAAATTACAATTAAATATTAATGTAATGTAATCGAATAATGATCTCTATAGGTAATATGTTGCATGCAAAAGCAGGTAGGTACCTACTACCTACGTTGTTGAGAACAGAAATTAGTTCTGCTGAACATAACTTGGCATATTGTATGCACATTCTACATAAAGTGTACAAATCGGATATATTTTAATTTTTAGGGCTTTAGGCTCAGCCCTTAATATATTTAATGGATAATAAAAATTGGGTCGACGGTTTTTAGATGTAGGAAAATATAAAAAAAATTTAAAACCGTTGCAAAAACCAAAACCAAACATTTTCAAAAACCGTTCTTGAAACCAATAATTTTTTTTAAAAACCTTTTTTGAAACCGAAACCAAAACCAAAAAATTTGAAAAACCGATCTTAAAACCTAAACCAAAACCAGAAAATGTAGAAAACCGTTCTCAAAAACCGAAACCGAAACCGAAACCGTTAAAATATGAAACGGTTTCGATCCCTGATTATAACAGATCCTTTTACATTGTCACATCGTTTATTTGTAAAAAACTTTAGACTTACTAAAGACGTTGTTAGAGATTTGATTAACCTATTAAAACCACATATAGTTTCAAACCATATACGTTCGTCTGCAATTGATTTGAATACTAAAGTAAGAACATGTTCTTAATGTTTTTAAATTTTTTTAAATTTTTTATTATTGTATATTGTTATAAATTGTGATTTATTTATTATTTAGGTTTTTATAACTTTGAATTTTCTGGCTACGGGCTCATACCAGTCTCCTATTGGTAACAGCCGATTTATGGCTCTATCACAACCAACTGTATCCCTCTGTATCAGCGAGGTTGTAGCTGCACTAAATCTACCGGAAATATTCAATGTTTGGGTTAAATTTCCAAAAGACATTAATGAACTTACCGATATCCGTAATGGGTAATTTAAATTTTTTTATTCGGCAAATTCGAGGATATTTTTAATAATCTTGTACTATCTAGTTTTTACAGAGATACAGGATTTCCCGGCGTTATTGGATGTATTGACTGTACCCATGTAGCAATCACACCTCCTTCGTCAAACTTAAACTTAGATGAAAACCAGCATCCTGAGCATGTATATATATAAACCGTAAAGGATATTATTCAATCAACGTTCAATTGGTAATGTTCTATTAAATTTTAATGTTATATATTAAATGTCCATGAAAATTTATTATATTTAAATTGATAACACATGCAAATAATCTTATGTAATATTTTTTTATAGATCATTACCTATGTACTGTGTTAATATTAAGCATGGCTTAGTGAAATTGTCCTCATAAACCATACAAATAAATAAAGATATTCATGATAACGTTTATAGTACCTATAATTATGTATTAACAATTTATTCTTTAGATTTGTGATTCAAAGTTAAAAATATTGAATGTTAATGCATTATTCCCAGGCAGTACTCATGATATACATGTATGGAACAATAGTTCTGTGTTACCAATATTACAAGAATTGTACAGACGCAATTATAATGATTTTTATTTATTAGGTAAATATAATTTCTCAAAAGTCCTTATTAAAAAATATATACTTTGGTGTATTATTATTAATTTAATAATATTATCAGGTGATTCTGGATATCCATTGCGTCAATGGCTCCTAACACCGATATCAAATCCTTCCACTGAAGCCGAGGAATATTATAATAAAAGGCAAATGTCAACCAGGAGTGTAATTGAACGCTGCAACGGAGTCCTAAAAGTGCGATTTAGGTAAGATCTTTTAAAATTTAGCTTTTGAAATAATTTAAATAAACAACTTGTTTATTATTTTTTTAGATGCTTGTTGAAAGATAGGACCTTGCATTACAAACCGGAGAAAGCATCATCTATTATAAATGCATGTATAGTGCTGCACAATATGTGTATCTCAAACAACATAGAGCTAGTAGATGAACCTGATGTCCGAGGGCTTGATGATTTGGGTATGATAGAAAATGAAGATACCTTAGCTGATTTAAACGTCAGAAACATAGAATTAGGTCTAGGAAGGCATCAAAGAAATAATGTTATTAGATATTTATCACATAGAAATGTTCAATAAAAATATTATTATAACTACTTTTTTGTAATATTCTGTCAGAAGATATTCCGCCATATGCAGTCATTTAAATGCTACTTAAAATTAATTTAAGTGTCACCTAAGCACAGTTAGGTTGGGTTCCTTATAGGTTAACTGTCACTTGAGGTTTCTCTTAATATTAAGTTGTGGATAGACCACCCTTAACGGGTCTGTAAACTGTTTTATTTTTAGTAATTTCAACATAAAAATAATAATAGAATCAATGTGTTAAAATTGTTTACAAAATTATAGTTTCACTGTGTATCGATATTTATGTTATTTTTTTAATTCAATTTTAAATACCTAACGTTTTCTCGAGAACCAGTTAACCAAACAAATATTTTTATCAACGTCAATTTGATCTCCGCAGTATTTTATAATAGAATTTGTTCCACTGTCATACCCTCATTTTCAATATTGCATCCATTGTGATTTTTCTCGCCGTAAATCCGAACTGTTGATCGGTCGTCCTCGGTTCGATCTGTTCCCTCAGACGCAAGCACACCAGGTACTCCAATGCCTTTGACAGCACCGGAAGTAGGCTGATAGGCCTGTATGACTTTGGGTCCGATCTATCCTTGTCCCGATTTTTCAGTAAGGGCACTACCCGCCCGCTCGGGAAACTAGCTGTTCTCCAACACTCATTGAAAAGAGTGGTCACTATTTCAGCTATCGCTGGGAAATCTATGCGAAGGATTCTGGCTGTTATACCATCCTCCGCCGCGGCTTTGTCCCTTCCCATGCGCCAGATCGCTCTTTTCACGTCCTCCTTCGAGAATTAATCTAGTTGGTCGCCTTCCTCTCCAACCCATCCGGACTGTTGTCCAGTTTCGCCAAGTCGTACTCCGGTCTCCTCATGGATTCCTTTGTGTTCCTCAGTTTCACCTTCTTCCGAGTATAGAGGAATCAGCGATTCTTGCAGTAGTTCCAGAGTGTCCTCCAGGCCCACCGTGCTCCCGCCAACCCACCCTTCGGAGAGTTGCGAGAACACCGCGTATGTAAATATAATGTGGTTTTATTATAATGTTCTTCGACAATTTGTGCAGAGTCCAAATTACAATATTATGTTGTACAAAGTGTCGTGAAGGTGCTTTCAGTGCAGTGGAGTGAACACGTCTGAATACAGGCCGTTTCGGTTTAACTCTTATAGTCCGGTCCCCACTCCCCTTGCCTAGTGATATCGGATCTCGGTTCTCACGGATGTGGTCCTTGTGGCTATTGACATAGCACACGCACTTGCGAAATTCCTAATCTATTCTGAGTATTTATCATAGTGTACTGACAGTTAATCTATGACTTGCCAATTTCATTATAATAATCATTATACTCTTTTATATTGAAGTTTAACTGGTTTAAACGATTTTCTTGGCTTGCTTACACAACAATAGGTGATCAAGGAGCAATGTGCACGTTTTGTGTTTTATTTTCCATTGATCTTGGAGGAAAGGAGAATCATCAACAATTAGGAATCTTAGTTAATAAGCCATTTAATAATTGGAAAAAGCTATCGAAACTTTTACCCATCATAGCGCTACACTATTTCATAAAAATAGTGTAATATTCGGTGAAAATTTTATTAACACGTATAACAAACTTCAACCAGATATTCGGCAACAGCTCGATTCCTCAAGAGCTCTACAAATTTCTGAAAATAGAAAAAAACTCGTTCCAATTATACAAACAATTATTTTATGTGGCCGACAAGAGCTAGCACTTTGGAGGCGAAATGATTCGGGTCCTCTTGATTTAAATGTTGTTGATCCTGATCATAATGATGGTAATTTTAGAGCACTGTTGCGTATGCAAATTGCATGTAAAGACAAACATTTAATTAATCATATTGAAAATCAGTCCTTAGACTCTATGTACATCAGTCCTGAAATACAAAATAATTTTATTACGATTTGCGGAAAAATAATTCAAGATAATTTAGTTTGTATATACAGTAAAACCTCGTTAAGACGCTCTCGAAGGGGAAATCGTAAAACCACGCAATATGCGGGATAGCGTTATAGGCGATATCCCGCCTATTACGCTCTTAAAGCGCTATAGGCGATACCCGCATATTAAAAGCGTTTTAAATGTGATAATATGTATGTACATAGATAGAATAAATTAGAAAAATGTTCATAGTGTGACTTGTTATGTATTACACAGTAACATAAGTTGTATTTAAAATTAATAATAAAAAAACATCAAATATACATACAATAAAATTATTAGGAACATATTTTATAATTATGTATTATTTTCTTGGATTAAAAAAAGTGGTAATGGTTGGTTGTTTCAATACATTATTTTTATATTTATTCAATAAGAAATTTTCCACTCTACCTAGATATAGAAGCATGTTTTCGGAGCCATCAGTTGCAGTAAGTGCCTGTCTCAATGTAGATATTGATTGTACAGTACTAGCGATTGACGGAAGTGGTGGAATGTATTCTTCCTCATCATCACTTGGCTCATCTGGTTCATCGTTTACTGTAGCCTGATTGATAATTTCTTCAAGTTCTAGTGCCTCGTTCGTTATTAATTGGTCGTCAATGGATGTGTAGCCTGGATAAACCTCCTCAAAGTCCCGAAATTCGTCTGAGTCCAAAACGTGAGGGTCTTCTTGTGAGACGTTATCAAAATAGGCTTTGTTGAAACAGTTTTTAATAACTTCTGGTTTTATCTCATCCCACGCAATTGAAACATAATGAATAGCATCTAAAACATTGATTTTGGGGATTTCTGCATCGGTCACCGATTCCATTTCTAGTAAATACCGTTGAACTAATTTCTTACGGTATTTCTGTTTTAAAACTTTGATCACACCTTGATCAAGGGGCTGAAGCTTGCTCGTAGCATTTGGCGGGAAAAACACAAGTTTGATATTTGTAAGGGTTATTTCTTTCGGATGAGCAGGGCAATTATCGACAAATAAAAGGACGTTTCTTTTCTGTTTAACGAACTTGCAGTTGAGCTGTTGAACCCATTCAATGAATAAACTTCCAGTCATCCACGCACGGTTTTGAGCTTTATAATCACACGGTCAAGTGTGTACATTTTTAAAACATCGGGGGGATTTCGATTTACCTATTACCAAAAGTTTTAGCTTGTCAGTTCCAGACTAATTTGAGCAAGTTAAAACAGTTAACCGGTCCTTACTTAACTTACCACCATGACATGTTTCGTCTTTCATCACAAGTGACTTATCTGGCATCAATTTAAAGAACAAGCCAAACTCATCAGCATTTTCACTCCGGCACTACTAGATGACGTAGACGCACTCGTCATTTTAAACCACACACGAATAACAATAAACAAAACATACAAATTATAAATCTGCGTGTGATTTCACGTGTACACTTCAACGTCCGATCATATAACTAACGTACGTACGTACTAACGAAATATAGTAAGAGTATAAACCACATCAAGATGTTAATAATAAATATCAATTACTCGGTCGATAATAGATAAACGTTTCAACGAAATTCTTATCGCTGATTGTATTAATTGGGTTTTTTTCTATTTTAAAATGTTTGAGAAGCCAGCAATTAGAGCGTATTATGCGGGATTACGTAATATGCGGTGGCGTATTAAGCGTCTTTTTTTCAATGTTAAAAGTGTACAATTACCTGGGACCGGGAAAAATCCGCGTGTTAAGCGGGATGGCGTATTAAACGGGAGCGTCTTAACGAGGTTTTACTGTATATTATTTTAATGCGGCGAAGTCGTTTTTGGTTCTCGTTGACGAAACTTCCATGAGTGGAAATTTTAAAGGCGTCCAAACAGTTATAAGGGAAAGTCATCCAGCAGTACTTTACGTGCATTATAGTGCGCACTTTTTAAATTTAGCGATAGCTCATTCATGCAATGTTCAATATATCAGAAATTGTATTGGTACAATAAAATCTATTGGAAATTTCATTAAAAGTACGGCTATGCGGACAAATCTTTCAAAAACTAAAATAAAAAACATTGTACCTAATACTAAGTGGACTAAACTGACATCATCAATGTGTGATACTCGGTGGGTTGAAAACCACAACGGAATTCAAAGATTTGTTGAAATTTTCCAACCCATTATTGAAACTTTGGAAGAATTACAATTAGTTCAAGACATCAATACGTCATCAAAACCACTTCAATTTTATCGAGCAATAATTAATAGTGAATTTATATTAAGTATGGTTACATAAAATACTCTGTTTTCAATGACACTGCCACTATGTAAAAATATACAATCTGTTAGTTGTGACTTAGTAGAAGCTGTAGAACACATCGAAACAATACAAAATGAATTAATTTATTTACCATTTACGTGAAAATATTGATAGTATATTTAATGACATTTTTGAAAAATCTGAACTTCTTTTAAAATCTATTGATGATGCAGATAATATTAAAATTCCTAGAATAATAGCTCGTCAAAAAAATCTTGTGTATATTAATACTAATTGTCCGAAAACATATTTTCGTATAGCTATTGCAATACCATTTTTGATGATTTTATAAGACAATTAAAAGAACGCTTTACTAACCATAAAAAATAATATCATCACTACACTTTTTACTTCTCAATAAATGCATTAATTCTGAATTAGAAGCAAGTGTGTTAAAATATACAATTAATATGTAGTACATGTAGTCAGCCTTGACACGTGTGTACAATATAGTAACTAGTTATGTAAGAGCATAAGACTCACTCTCTTCACGGATGTAACATGACCTCGGTCGTGCATATATATAGTGCCTTTGATGTATGTAATATTCACTTGCACAGGCGTCGTTGTACAGAGCGTATACGATGTGTGTGTACTGTCACAGTTTAATTGTCCAGTTGTACGTTACTATATATTATACTTATACATAATCATATTGTCGGGTTATTACTTATTATATTAATGCTAACATCATTAGTCCGTCAAGCTTCACTTTCAACAAAGTGATTTCGAATTTTATTCAGAGTTTTTAGATTTGGATGCACTTTCAAATGAGTTAAAACTTTAGAAAAGAAAATGGTGTGATAAACCAATAGTAGAGCGATCTCCTGAAATACTTGAAGCATTATCAAATTGTAACCAAACTTTTTTTTCCAAATATTTCATTTTTATTAAAAGTTCTAGCAACTTTACCAGTAACTAAGGCAACACCGGAAAGAACTTTTTTTGAAAAGAATAAAACATTACCTAAGAAATGCAATTGGAGAAGACCGATTGACTGGCCTAGCATTACTCCGTGTACATAGGAATATTGTTGTAGATCCAGAAGAAGTTATTAATCGTTTTTCAAATGAAAAACAAAAAAATATAGAGTTTGTTGTATAAATATTTTCCAAATTAAATGTATAGAATTAAGTTTAATTATTATTTTAAAATCTAGCAATCAAAATATTTAAATGTAAATTTCATTAATTTATATTTTAATATTATTATTTAAAAATAAATTATATTTATATTATTTGTAATATTATGAACTTTATGCTATATTAAATTACCTATATAAAATATTATAGTTGCAGTTGTGCGTTCAATGTGCATAGTCGTATCGATAATCGTTCTCTTATCTTTTACATATTATTAAGCTTGCCATCCTATAGTATGTTGTGCGCGGTTTGTAACGACGACATATTTGAAAATGATGATAAAAAATGCGCAAAATGTATAGAATATTTTCATTTTTCGTGTGCTGGCATGAGAGAAGTTAATTTCCGAAAACTGGCCAAACAAAATAAGGATAGGTGGTGCTGAGGAAAATATAAAACCACAACGGTTAGTAACATCGGTATTATACAGGCTTTGTTGGCTCAAATTAAGAAACATTATCTAACCTAGCTGATTCAGTAAAATTTATGAGCAATCAATTTGATGGTTTTGGTACTCAATTGTTGGATGTTCTTAATTCGATTAAAGAATTAAAAGAAGAAAACAAAAGTTTGAGAGAAAATAATTGTAAATTGTATGTCGACATTAGAAATCTAACTAAAAAAGTTAATGTTCTGGAACAAAAATCAATTATAACTAATGTGGAGATAATCGGTGTGCCGGAAAAAAACAAATTACAATTGTGTGGAAGTTGTTGAACACATTGCTACGGAACTAGGTGTCAAATTAACGGTAGTAAATGCTTTCCGAATATATTCCAAAGTAACTAATAAACCAAGTTAAATTATTGCAAAGTTAAACTTGATAGAAAACAAACAACAACTAGTGGATAATGCTAAGAAAAGGAAACTAAACACTAAGAACTTGGATGAAAACTGGGATTTTGGAAATATTTTCATAAACAATGAAGTGTCGTCATTTAACAGAGACTTATTCTTCAAGGCTAGAATGTTTGCAAAAACTAATGATTTCAAGTTTGTATGGTATAATGATTTTAAAATTTTTATAAAAAAAAAATGAAAATGCTAAAGCTCATATACCTAGTACAGGATGATTTAGATCTATCCAAGCTTCAGTGTGCTTTTTCTCAACAATATTTGTCTGTCATAATTTATATTAATTTATTTTATTATCATGATTAACTTTAATGTAGTAAATAATTATCTGGATTACAAAACTTATTATTTTGAATCAATAACTGAATTCATAAATCATAGATAGGTATAATTTTAGTAATAATATGTTTATTAGTGTTTTTTGTTGTAATATTAGGAGTGTTAATGCTCATTTTGATGAGTAGTCTGTATATAAAAAATGAAAAAAAGTATTCTAATTTAGATGTTATTGTATTTACTGAAACATGGCATACAGCAGATAATTGCATTTATAAGATTCCTGGTTATAAATTATATTTCTCGAGACATAAAAGAAATCAAAATGATGGTATAATGGTATTTATTAAGGATAAATTATCCATAGAGATGTATGAATATAACTATGCAATGGCAAACTTTATACAACTAAAACTATCAGTCAATGATATCCAATTTAATATTTTTAAAATTAAATTAAAATATGATCTAAGACTTAGATACATCGATTAGGTACCTAATATATTATGGTGTATTTAAAATCAGTCAATGGTCACTCTTTCTATAGTCTGTACACGGTACCTAAACATTAAAATGGAAATGCATTAGAATATTTACGTACTTTTTCGCATTGCCACCTTATATATATATATATATAAAATTGTTTCATTTAATGTTATTTATATTAATTGTTATTTGTTAACTATACAAAGGTGGATAAATAAAATAAAAACTAGTCGTAAACAATTTAATTTGGGCTCAGATATAAATATATCTATAATCTATATACTTATAATAATACAATATAAGTACCTACTTACTAATTAAACATAATTTCTATATGATACAATAAAATACATTTTGTTAGGTAGGTAGATAATTTAGTTGGTAGTTATATTGTTAATTAAAAAATGCAGGTGTATAAATGTAGGTATATAGTTACAAAATAGGATTGGTACTTGAAATTTAAAACATTTTGTCGTATTTATGGATTAAAATTAATATGAGTAGAGCCAGTAGAGGTATAAATTACATTTGAATATGTAGGTACCTAGCTAACTATAGATATTATTATAAAATATAAAAATTAACAAAAAATTATCTGAGTAATTGTTATAGATAATATTATATGTATATTATATGAACATGTTAATATTAAAAAAGAATATATATATATTAGGGTGGTTATTATTTATAAGGAAAAAAAATATTAATATTTTTGATATCTTACCCGCCAACTTTGTTCATTACTATGAGTAAGGCTATCGGGCCACACGATGCGTTTTTTCCGCAGGCATCGAATGCGGCGATTCCGCATGCGGCAGGGTTTGAAACGAAAACACATTGTTTTAAATACAACCGTCCACACGACGCGGCATGCCCGGGAATTTCCGCGTCCTGCCGCAACATGCTGCGGAATTGTCGTATTGCCGAAACCGGACACAAATGAAAATAACATTATTTTAAATTAAGCCGTCCACACGGTCCGGTATTCAAATTATAATTGAAATTGAGTCGAGGCCATGCTTATGGAATGTCGGGTCAAAAGAGTATAGCGACAAAAATTTAAGGGCCTTGTCTTGGAATTCAGTCGCTGAAGCCAAGTATGCCGATTGGAATGAGCTTTTGCCATCACAAAAAGATGAAAGAGGTATGTTAAAATAATTATGCCTAATCCTTTAACATTTTTCCTTTGGTAATTAAATTATTATTTTTATTTTATTTCTATACCTGCCTGGCTGCCTACTCAATTACTTTTGAGTAGGTACCTATATACATAATACACTACTTGTTGTTACCCTATACAACTTAATTGTACTAAATCTAATAAAGTACAGTTATTATTTTAAAAAACAAAATAAAATAGAATAATAGTACATTTAATTAACCTTTTTTTAACCTTATCTATTACATAAGTCTAGGTAAAATATTACCCAATATATAAAAGTCGATTAGGTACAAATAATTTAGGATAAACAATTAAAAATATAATAATTTAGGTATAACAAAAAAATTTAAATATTAATACCTAATGGTTAACTATAGTAATAATTACTAATTATTATTATACCTACTATGTTTAATATACTTAGTATTTCAATTATATAGCTATAACCTATAGCTTACATTTATATAAAAAAGAAATAAACAATTTTTTATTTCAAATATTATTATTTAATTGCAATTTTTAAATAAATCTATATTGGAATGGTATTGCACCTGGGCCCACAAAATAATCTGCATATGCGTCTCTAACCTCTATCCCTTGTGTTCTTACTGGAGCTTCTCGAATTTATAAGTCATCGACCAACAGATTTGACTCCATATCTTCATAACTAGCTCCGTCCCTTTGGCGAACATAATTGTGTAAAATGCAACAAGCTTTTATTATTTCGTCGGCAAAATCTGGTTCCACTGATAAAGGAGTATGTAATACTCTCCATTTGTTGGATAATACTCCAAATGCACACTCGACCGTTCTTCGTGTTCTTGAGAGCCTGTAGTTAAATACTCGCCGTTTATCGTTTAGACCTCGTCCAGGATATGGTCTCCACAAATTTGAATGCAAACCAAAAGCTTCATCAGCCAAAAACACATATGGCAATGGAGAACTCTCTGTATTAGGTAAGCATGTTGGTTTTGGTATATTTAGTTGTTGAGCATATAGTTTTTTACCAAATGTGCATTGTTTAAATACAGTAGAATCTGATTCCCTACCGTAAGCTCTAACATCAATACAAATAAAACTAAGATTAGCATCAACTACAGCTATCAATATAATAGAAAAACATTTTTTGTAGTTAAAATAATAATTTTTTTGTAGTTAAAATAATATGAACCCTAGTTTATGGGATTCCTACATCGTATGTGTTTGCCATCTATTGCACCCAAGCAATTTGGAAAGTTTGTACTTTGATAGAATCTATCAGCTATTCCAAGCCATTGTTCAAGTGTAGGTTTTGGCATTTCTGTAGGCTGTAGAATTTTCAAAACAATAGCACAGGTCTCCTTAACAATTTCTGCAATGGTACTTTTACCAACGTGAAAATCATATTGTAGAGCTTTGAAATAAGTCCCGGTCAACAAATACCTGAAAACAGTATTTTTTGACAATATTTAATATTTATTGATATTAAAGTAAAATTAAATTATAATATACTACTTTTCAGAATTATACCTATTTATGAATATTGTAGATATCAGTTTTTGATAAGCTAATATCAATTCTATCGTTTTTAACAGCAAATTAACTTATTTTTTCATAAACTTTTTTAAGCAATTTCAATATAAAAAAAGCGGGTAAGTGGATGTCGCTCTGCTGTACATTAGGGGGTCGTAGAGTAGCTCACTATAATGGATGTGTTAAATTTGAATGCAATGATAGGTATTATCGATTCTGAACGGAGATGATGTGTCAGTCTAGGATATATTATTATATTACCTATATTTAAATTGTAACATATATTTTGTCGAAATTTGAAATTCAAACACTTCTAAAAAAAAATTGTGCCGTATTTTGATCATTTTTTAATAACTCATTGATTAACTTATGTAAAATCTTCTATTAAATTTTCAAGTATTTTTAAACGACATTCATAAAAAAAATCAATAAAAAATCGAATATTTAAAATGCCTATAAATAGCTGAAAAATCAACGAATTATTATGAAAAAAAATCATGTGAAGAAAATATCACTTTAAACAAGTGGTGGAAGTTTCAAATTTCTACGTCTTATACTTTTTGAATACAAATAAATATCAAAAACCGTTTGAGGCAATGAGAAAAATCGTTGTTTTATGTGATTTCGTAAAAGTTTAAATTTCAAACGTTCATAAAAATGTTTGGTTTTAGTCCGGTAGAGTATTTTTACATATTATATTCAAAGAAAAAATTATGGAAAATCTTATAATTTGTTATAGGTAATTTATTATATTGTTTCTAGTTTTCAGTTTTTTTCAAATAAATTACTACCTACTATTCTAATTATTTACTGAGTGTTTATAAATTACCTATTACTAATATATTCGATATGTATAATATGAGGTAGGTACATAGTAAGTACCTACATATTATTATCTACGATAATTAAAAAAAAATAATTTCTTACCTTATAATAATAATTGTAAGTCTTTGCTCAACGCATATTGGATTCCTCATATTGGTTTGCTACTTTGTTAAATGAGGACGAATTGTTTCCAATAACTCATCAAAAGATGTTATCGACATTCGGTAATATTCAAAAAACTATTGATTAAATGTTCGAATTGAGCTGTAAAAGTTTTCAAACAAATCCTCCTTCTCTCTTTTTTGGTTGAGTGGATGTACCCAAAACTGTCTTGATATAGTCGATGAAGTAGGATCGTCTAGTTCACCGGAATACCGGATGCTTCCTTAACGCAAATAATATTTAAAAGATCACTCATAGTGAAAAAAATAGACCGTACTTGTCGTAAGCAGAACTTTGACCGGTGCTATGTTAGCTGGTCATGATAGCGTATAATATTAGTATTTAATATTTTTGGAATTTAAATCAGTTAAATGTACTATTTATATTATATAAATAAATACATTTTTGATTTCACATCCGGCAATTCCGCATCGTGTGGTCCAACACTGTTGTTGCGGAATTTCCGCATTCATATTTTCCAACGCGGAAAAAACGCATCGAGTGGCCCGAGCCTAAATTATTTATGCTAAGTTTGGTCATGATTACTCAACCCCTTCACGTGCCACAAAAAGGTTGAAAATTTAATAAGTATATAAGTATAAATTGCAAAATTGCATTGGAATAACCATGTTACTTTAATAGTAGAATTTATATAATATTTAGATAAATTGTAATCAGTTTTTATATTTCGTAATATGAAGATTACCCGTCGAATCATCGTTGTTATCTATAAATAAATATAAATTGTTACCTACTAACGATCATGCGTTATATACTCTATGTGAAAATATTATTTTTGTACACTGATAATTATACTTATATGCGATTTATTGATCTATAGTGCTATAATACTATATGTGTTTTATTTATTGAACCGCACTCATGAAGAGATGACCAAATATTACTGTAAGTAGGTACAATACATATTAAGTATATTTATTATTAATTATTTAATTAATTTACTGGCATTTTATTAATTTTAATTAACGTTTTAATTTAATATACCTTTTGAGACGTTATGACGACTCTACAAAACACTGATATATGGTTAATTGGGCGGCCTTTAGAATTAATTACTGGTAGTAAGCTTCCTTCAAATGGAGATATTATGCGTAGACTTTTGTTTTTAATACGGAATGAAAAAAAAACAGTTAAGAAGTCTTCATCCGTTATAACTCAAAATTATTATAATTTTGGAAATGTGCGAGGATACCAACTATGAATGACTATAATATTACTCCTAATTTAGAAAAAGAATATATGAACTGGTGTGCTTTACAAAAAGGTAAGTCACGTAGATCCCAACCACAAATAAAAAAAGAAGAGGTATATAAAGATCAATTAACAGATTTATTTGATATTGCTCATTTGAATGCTCTACAAATTATTAAAATTGACGAAGACAAAAATTTCTTGTTAGCACAACGCGAGAAAGGTAGAAAAAGGGTGTATGATTGGAATAGATAGAAAACTGGGAAAACAAGAAATGTGGAAAAATCAACGTGAAATCGCGTTTCAAAATTATAAAAACAAAAGTAAAAAAACGCAAGATGAATTATCAGTACTTGACACCGTTGATTTATTTTCTCCTGAAAGTTGTAGTGAAGAAGATATTGAATTTACATTAGAAACTACAAATACTTCGAATAAACGAAAAAGGGGAAGAAAAAATATTATCAGTTCTGAAATTGTAACAACATTAGATCGTACAAAAGTAAGTGATCGAAATGCAGTTCATATTCTTATTGCTACAGCTCAAAGTCTTGGCTGTAATGCAAACAACATCGCTATAGATCGCTCAACTATTCGAAGAAATAGAGTTATTTTAAGACAAAGAGTTTCCGATGACATAAAAGTATCTTTTAATCCGAATTGTCCTTTAACTGTGCACTGGGATGGCAAAATATTACCCGATATTTCCGGAAAAGGTCATGTTGATCGTCTTCCTATTTTATTATCCGGAGACAGAGTAAGTAAGCTTATCAGTATTCCAAAGCTTGAATCTGGAACTGGGGAAGAGATGTCAAATGCTATTATAGAGTCATTATTTGATTGGGGTATAACAGACCGTGTTCAATCACTATCATTTGACACAATAGCCAGCAATACAGGACGAATAAACGGAGCATGTAAGTTAATCGAGGAAAAAAATTGGTAGAAAATTATTATACCTAGCATGTCGACATCATATATTAGAAATAGTTGTAGGAGCTATTTTTAATATTTGTTATAACAGTCCATCAACTGGGCCAAATATTCAAATATTTCTAACATTTCAACAACAGTGGAAAAATATTGATAAGAATAAATAGAAGAAAGAATAAGTAATCGAGACGAAGTCATAATATTTTGCAAAGAAAAATTAATTTAATTTCATTCGCGTGACGATTACAGGGAGCTGTTAGAACTTATAACTTATCTCGGCGGTTAGGTTAGGTTAGGTTAGGTTTTCGGCAAGAGGTATAATATTTATTCGGCCCGGAGCAGTTTATCAGGCGCGATGGATGGCACTTGCTATTTATGCCATTAAAATTTGTATATTTAGAAATCAATTCAAAACATCTAAAAATACAATAAATTATATGAAAATATTTTCGTTATTCATTGTTCAAATGTACGTATTTCATTCGTTTAAAGCTCCCTGTGCTGTATCTGCTCCTGTAAACGATTTAAATTTACTAACAGAACTGTCATTGTACCCAGATAAAGCTGTATCGAATGCAGGAATTACAGCTTTTTTACGTAATCAGTGATATTTGTCAGACTTGCTTGTATATTTTTAATTTTTTAAACAAAATGTTTCATATCCAATTAAAAAAAAAAATGGTCACTGCATTAAGTAACAAAACCTCAGAAGATTATAAAAATCGAATTAAAATTGATGTTGTAGATTTAAATTTTACCCAAAAAACGGTTGCTGATTTTGTTAATCATAAATCAATTGATTTTTTTAATATATTTAAGATACCAACTGAGTTCCTTAAGTCTGATCCTGAAGAATGGGAAAATATGCCAGATTATCAATTAGGACTAAGTGTGGTTAGAAATATGAAAGTTGTCAATGACTTTGCTGAAAGAGGAGTGGCTCTAATTCAAAATTATAATTCAACTCTTACAAAAAATGAAAATGAAAAACAATTCCTCTTACAAGTTGTCGAAAGTTATAGAAAGAGATTCCCTGATGCTCGAAAATCAACCATCATATCAGACGAAATTTATTCGAAATAATATTAATACTCAAATTATTCAATATTTTTACGTATTAATAGATTCATAAGACATTGTATAAATGTATTTTTTATTGACAAAATATATAAAAAATATATATAATTTACCTTTAATACATTCATTGATAAGTATAACATTTTTTAAATTAAACTTAAAAATTGACATATCAACCCTATTAATAATAATGTGCGGCCCTTCTGACCAAACACAATATAGATATAAGAGTATTATGCGCCCTTCTGGCACATCAGAATATAATAATAATTGCAAAAAAAAAAAAAATATAATACATAATAAAATAACTCACAGTGGTTTGTGGAGCGCAGACTGGCCAGCTGGTCCTATGCTATAATAATATAAAATACATGCACATTATTTTATGTTCATGTGCACGACAATGATATAATTAACAATAATATAATAATATGCTGCCTTTATGGCTTACAATGATAGAAATAATATATAAGCGATTCGGAAATAGGCCCTTCTGGCGCTACAGATTATATAATATAAAAAAATAATGATAGTTTTCACTTAAAGCACTGGTTAATAATTGTTATACAAAATTGAAAATAATAATTTGTACGTAGAAACACAGGCGTCTCGCACAAGATAATTTCCGATACCAAATTCTTATCAAACCTTGTTATCACTTAGCAGATTAACCATTTGCAATACCTCAAGGTGTAGTAGTTAAAAAGACCTAGAACGCTATCTAGCGGATTATTATTACATAATCTTGTTTTCAATAAATAGACTATTATAATAATAGTTAAATAATTTAATAATTATAGTATACTAGCACGGTATATAAGACCGTTGTATGTACCCATATAGCTATATCATTGAAGATATTCTAATAAAAAAGTTCCCATTTGTTTGTCGTAGTTTTTCATTTTTGTACTCAGTTAAATTATACAAATATACATTAAAATGTTTAATTGTGTTTTTTGTTGATGCCAATATAAAAAACGATGTTCATTGCTTCGGCATCAAAAAGCCAAATACAATTTTTTTTTATATAATTGCAACTATTGTGGGTATGGTTGCAATATGAAAACAGTTCTAATTCAACACTTTCAAAAAGAACACTCTTTTTCAAATTCCGAAATAAGTATGTTTTTATATTTTAAGGTATTATTTTATTTCTGGTTTTATGCGTAAAAGAGTAGTGTAAAATGGTAATAGTTTAGGTAACACGATATACTACTTTTATATAATAATTAGAGTATTGCAACATCAGAGAAAATTATCATTCAGCATCTATATTTTTTTTCTATTGAATGAATAGTACACATACATTCACAACAAAAAGTAGTACCTAAATTTCAAATTAGTTAACCTCAGAATATTTTTCATTCATCAGTGTGTAAAAATCCTGTTTATTTTTTGTATAAGTTTATAATATTATTATATACATTTTATTTTGTTTGGTAGAAATTCATTCATTAGGTACATAAGTACATATTAACATATTTAACAAAACATATAAAATTAAAAATTAATTTAGCCTTTAAAAAATGTTGGTAGAATGTGTTTGATTTGACTTTAATTACATATCATATCATTCATTTTTTCTTGATTTAAGTATAAGAGGTACCTATACCCAGGATGCATTTTTTGCATTTCATTCTCTTGAAACTTTTTTTCACTAGTCATAAGAATAATAAATTATCATATTTATATAAAATATGGTCAGAAAAACTATGATAAACATAATAAAATGAAGAATATATATAGTTTACATTTTTTATACATTATTAAAAACCTATTATAATAAAATAATAATAATAACAATAAATTAATATTAAAATCTACTTTGGAAATTTTCCTTTAGGTTGTTACTTCTTTAACTGTTAGAATATAATTGCTTGTTTATACTAATTACTTCATATATCATACAAGTATTTCTTACATATTACATAATAATTCATATACCTAAACATACTAAAAAAGCTTCTGTTTAATATTTAATATTTTATAATTAATAATTTGATATGGTTAGTGATAACTTATATTGTATGAAATATATTATGCTCATAACCTTATTAATATTAGTATTAATTTCTTCAATAGCTTAAATAGCTTTAATAGTTTTTATAAGATATTAAACATTTAATTGAATACTTATAGAAAAGAAATACCAAAAGCGCTTATTATGTCCATGTTGTGAAAGTTACCAAAAAACATTCAATGAATTAGATTCACATTTAAGCACAGAACATGGTGTTGACGTAGAAAAAGAAAATTATATTTTTGAAAACATGACATGTAAGTTTTACTGTATTACAAAAATTCATACAAATTGATTGTTCTAAAAATATATGAACTGTCTTATATAGTATTCTTGAACTGGAAACAAAATATCGAGCAAAAGACTCAAAGTCAATATGTAGTGCTTATGGCAGAAAGAGAAATAAAAAGCAAAAATTGTATTCGTAAGGAATATTTTTGCCATAGATCATATTCCATGCGATCAAATACAGAAGAACGTAAAAGATCTATGAAAAGTTTGGGATCAAATAAAATGGGAGCTGTCTGCCCATCTAGAATGATAGTCGATATTTTAGAAAAACGAGTAGAAGTGAATTTCTTTCGTAAGTTTGTTGGACATTTGTGTGAAGTTATCCGGACAAAAATACCAAAAAATGAACGTTTTAAAATAGCTGGTAAGACCATATATTATGATATATTTTCAGCAATATTGATCAGAAATCATCTAAGTTTAAATTATATTTAATATGATTTCAGGGAAACTAAAGCAAGGTGTAACTAATGAACGAGTACTGCGGGACATCCGTGACACAGGAGATGCTACCAATTTTGTACGTATTCATTATGCTGAAAAAAAGGATTTGCACAATATCCGACGAGATTTTAAAATTGGTGAGTCAAGATTCCATTCAGACGATAGTATCAGCATTGATATACTTGTCTATGAATTATGTAAGCATGAAGATCCACCTGTAATATACTATATCAATAATATTCAAGAATTTTCTCTCATCATCATGACTCCCTTTCAAAAATCTGTGTAGATGGTACCCACGGCATGAATTCTAAAATGCCAAAAATTCAATTGTTTACATTACTAGTGATAGATGAATATGGAAATGGAGTACCTGGAGCGTTTTTTTTGTCAAACAGAGCAAATAAAGAAGCAATGAAATTATTTTTCAACAAAGTAAAAGAAGTAATTGGTAGGAGAATTGAATGTACAATTTTTATGTCGGATGATGACTCGACATTATACGAAGCATGGAGAGAAGTGATGGGTCCAACAGAGTACAAATTACTCTGCTGGTGGCATGTGAACAAAAATTGGAATAAACATCTTAACGAAAAAATTAAACATAAGAGTAAAAGAGACCTGGTAAAGAAAACACTATACTCTCTTACCACCTTTATTGAAAATACTGATGAATTTGAAATTCAGTTGCAACAATTTCTTACAAGTCTTGAAGATGACACAGATACTTTGCTTTTCCATAATTACTTTTTGACATATTATGTTCCAATTATTTATGTTATAACTTATTATGTAGGTACCTACGTATGTGTATAATCATTTTTTTCTGACTGTATTTATTTAAAAAAGTTTTTTATTATTATTTGTTGTAACTTGTATGTACTTGTAATACTATGTGTATTATATTTAAATGAAGAAAATATTAATATTATATTAAAATGTTATGATAATGGGAATTTGTTAAAAGCAAGGTAATTATAATACATGGTAGTGCCACTTCACTATCGAAATCGCGATTGTTATTAACTATCGCAACACTATCTAATGCGCATGACCAGCATAAAGTGGAACCAATGAAATACGAGTAATTTTATGCGGCAAATTTAAATTATATTTTTTATCTTAATATAATATTTGTATCTTGTAATTGCATTTAATGTTTTTAATTTATTATTTTTTTTTCTGTAAATATTATAATTGCATTTAATATTGTTATTATTAATATGTTGTTGCACTATTTTTATGTTTCTTTTATAAAATCTTAAAATTTAAATTATTCATACGAATAAAATATTTATTATTCAATAAATTATCGCATTTTTCTTATTTAATTATATTTAGACTATTTACTAAGCATTTGTCTACATAAAAAATGTACTGATACATATATAGCACATTTATCCAGGGATTAAAAACAGTTTTGAAACCGAGTAGTCCTATAAAAATTGAAACCATTTTCAGACACGAAACCAGAAATTTCTGGACACGTTTTTACACCATGTATTTATTAGTGTATGGTAAACATATAAAAATTAGGATGTATAATATACTGCTTACCTATAGGTATATTATGTGTCGTTGTAAAGAATGACATAATAATAATAATTTTTTTAAAGCAAATGTGATTAATAAAACTATTGATACCTATTTAAAATAAAATAGCTATGGAGAGCATATACTTTTAAAGATACATCCAGTGTCAGCCTGGCACACCAAATGCCCATGGATCAGTTTTATTAAGGGGCCCCATAATAAAAATAACAAAATTTTCTTGACATTTTGTTAAAATGCTCACCACCTTTTAAAATATCTCCTGAATAATTAAAAGTAAAAAAAGAGTATTCGGTATTCCTATTATAAAAACAGTAGTTTGTATTGTAACAACATCGTTCTTAAATGTTATAAAAATCTCAAGTATTCAAAAATCTTTAAGCGTATTTAAAATTCCGAAAATTTGATTATAATATGTATAATTTAAGTAAAAAAAATAGGCTGAGTATGCATAAAAAATCACTCTGTATAATATTAACTCAAAACCCGACGAGAGGAATCATTCGTTTAATAATAAGCTATGAAATTATTGAAATATTTGAAACTACAAAAAAATAAATAATAATTATTAATTACACAGAAACGAAATTACGAAAACCAAAATTTTTATATTACTTAGATTACCTAGACACTTGTACTAATATGCCCTGCTCACACTATAATAGTCAGGCATCTGGGCCCTGTAAAGCAAAATTGCGTATGGTTCAATATATCCATAAAATATACTTTACAGGGTCCTTACTCCCTATATATAGACCAGGCACAGATCAAGCAAATACAAATATTTATGAGACCTTAAAAAAAACGACGGGGCCCTGGCCGCATTCACGGTCCAGTGGCCGTGGCCAGGATACATCTAACTATTCAAGAACAAAATTTACTCATTTTTTTACCCATATACATTTGATTATTCATAATAATATGAACTCAATAGTATGTTTATTATAGTAACTAACACCCCCTCCCATTGCTATGCAAATCAAATATTATCATATATCATGTATCTTGATTCTAAATTCTATTTTTAAATTTATTTAAATCATTAACATAGCCTTGGTAATGAAAAATACAATCCTCAACAAAAATTCTCAGTAAACTTTTTTTATACTTTTATTTTTTACGCTTTCCTTTGGTTTTTTATCTGTACAAATGCATATTGCATACTAAATATTTGCAGCTATACAAATCAAATTTGTATGGATTTAAAAAAACAACAGATAATTGGACCACACAACAAAGTACAAGTAATGTTTGCAAGGGGCTTATTTGACAATTGGAAACTACCAATTTACTTTGATTTTGACCAGGATATGACTATTAATATACTCCATGAAGCTATATCAAAACTTTATGAATGCGGGTTTATTGTTGTTGCTATGGTGAGTGATCTTGGTTCAACAAATAGAAAATTACAAAAGCAACTTGAAGTGTGTCCATCAAATCCATCATTTCCATATCCATCAATTCCAGATGGAAAAGTATTTGTATTTTGTGATGTTCCGCATTTAATAAAATTGGTTAGAAACCATTTTATTGATCAAGACTTCATTTTAGCAGACGGTCGTTATATAGATAAGACACCGTTGGAGAAACTTGTAGAATTACAAACACAGAATCATCTAAAAGGATTAAAAACTGGTTGGAAACTTAATAGTTCAATTTTACAAGTAAAAGGCAATGAGAGACAGTGTGTAAAAAGTGCCACAAAACTATTGTCGCGTAATGTGGCACAAGCTATTTTATGGGCCGGAGATTCTAATTTACTAGGCAATTGTGAATATAAACTCACAGCATCATTTATTAACCTAATAAATTCTTGGTTTGACATTTTAAATTCCAGTATGAAATATGGACATCATCCTGGGTCAAATGCATACGGAGTAGATTTAGATGTCCAAAATAAAATACTCAATGATGTATCAAATATAATTGAAGGTATGGTAGTAAAATCACATAACACACTTCAGCCATTTCAACACGGTATATTATTAACAAATGCATCAATTCAGGGTATTTTTTCATATCTAAAACAAAATTTTAATATAAGTTATTTAATAACAAAGCGTTTTAATCAAGATATATTGGAAACTTTGCGGGGAATGGGGTGCAATTTTGATAATCCTATTCCCTTGGAGTTCATATATCGTTTGAGAAAGTACATTTTATGTAAGCATTCAAGCACAGTATTTACACTTCATACAAACTGTAAAGAAGATACCACCAATAAAGAAAACATTGTCACGCCATCATCTTTATCTACCATAACTACAGATGAACCAGAAATAGTTTTGACTCAATGTATTTTTGATGCTATAATTGATGACACATCATTAAATGCAGAATTGGAACTAGAAGAAAGCATTAAAGTTCAAAAAGAAGGTTGCTTGTCAATTGGTAGAATTTCTAAAGCAGGATTAATATATTTAGCTGGCTAAACAGCCTACAAATTCAAGTAAAAATAATAATTATAAATTACCTGATTTTATACAGATGTTTTCTATAAATCATTAATAAACCATTTTACAAATATTTCATAGCAAAATATCCAACATTAGGTATTCCAAGCAAAGAAATTATTCATACTGATATACCTGAATGGCTGCTGTATATTTCAAAGGGAAATTTGTTGTATCCTTGTCCAGAATTAGAAAAAATAGCGTTTGAAATGGAAAAATTATTTCAAAATGAACATGGAGACAATTTTTCAAAAAAACCAAAATTTTCTGGATAGGATAAGTGCACAGGTATTTTAATGTATATACCAACCAATGTATTTAGCAATTCATTTTAGCAAGTACATATATTTATACATTATTTTCAAATTGAGAATAAAGTAAATTTATATTATTTATTAATTTACACACAAATCAGTAGGTACAATCATTTTAATTTAGGAAGGTAATTGTAAAAACGAAAAACTAAATAATATAAAATTCAATATTATTTACAGGTTATTCATAACTGTGAAGACTGCAATGTTCCTACAGAAGTGGTATTCAGTTTAGTGAAAACTCGAACATTTATATTTATAAGATATTTAAATGAAGAAATAAAAACAAAAAATTAAAATTAAGAACAAAAAAAAATGGAAAAAATTGGATAAGTGTACAAACAATAATTTTATACTACCATCAATTAAACAAATTATACAAATACCAGCACAAGCAGCTCCACATGGACACAGATTAAAAGATCAAAATGCAAATTTGCAAAAAAAAATTGAAAAAAAAAAGAAATTATTAATCAAAATGAAAAAAAAAATTGTTACTTTCAAAATCAACACAAATTTTCCCATATTAATATTATACATTTATACTGTAGATTAATATTGTTACTTATGTAGCAATATTTTAAAATAATTATTGCAATGTTTATCTTTCTTGTTGGATTATTAGGAAATTGAACATTTGATAAGCAAATCTGGCTTTTGATCATAGACCTTATACTTATAGACGGAACATGTAGTAGTTACTCATGTTGACGATATACTGCGTCCCACGAAGCACCGAAGCACATCGCACATGCGCACTAGCGACGCACGATAAAAATCCATATCAATATATTGTACAAATATTGTACGATTGTTGTTATCATTCCACCTGTTGACTGTTGTTTTATTTTTTGAATTTTTTGTCGTTTGATTTTTATATTTTAAAAAACGACGATTAAGAAATATTTTCGAGTCTTTTATTACATTCATTTTTCTGGTAATCAAGCAACATGGGTCGAAAATGTATTGTTTGCAAAATACCAGAAATTGTTAATTCTGGTGTTTCATTTCACTCGTGAGTTGATATTTTAGAACTATTATTATGTCATTTAACCAACAATATGCCAAAAATTGTCTTTTTAGATTTCCTAAAGAACAAGGCCTTAAACAGTTATGGATGAATGAATGTCAAATTAAATTGTGCCTTCCTTCATATAGAGTTTGTTCCAACCATTTTTCACCCCAACATATCTTAACAAATGGCTTGTTGAAGAAAAATGCAGTACCTAGTGTTAGATTATCAGCTTTTGCTGCAACTAGGTACCTATGTATTTAATATTCTATAATATAAAATTATTATTGTTTTGTGTAAATAGCTATGTGTAAATATTTAGGAGCTAATTTAAGTACGAGTGAATCTAGGTTTTTTTTTGAACATCCAGTTTCTAAAGAACCAGTTTTTATTTTTTATGATGCATGTCACATGATAAAATTAATAAGAAATACTTTTGGGGATAAAAAATTACTATACAATGATAAAAACGAGGAAATTAATTGGGACTATATTAAAAAATTATATGATAAAGAAAATAATGAAGGCTTAAAACTTGCAACTAAATTATCAAGAAGGCATATTTTCTATTTTAACGAGAAAATGAATGTTAAACTTGCAGCCCAAGTTATGAGTAATAGTGTTTCAAATGCACTAAAATGTTGTGATCATTTAGGATATAGCAGTTTTAAAGGGAGTCAAGGTACTGCTGAATTCTGTGGTTTAGTAAATAATGCGTTTGATATTATGAATTGTCGCACAAAATTTTCTAAGAACCCATATAATTTGTGTTTGGACATCAACACAATTAATAAATATAGAGAATTTACAGAAATATTTGAAAAATATATTTTTAATTTAAAGTTCCAAAATGGTCAAAGAATAATCGACTCTAATCGAAAAACTGGGTTCATTGGTTTAGTTTATGGTCTAAAAAATTTGTTAAATTTATATGAGTATCTAAATTCAAAATATGGCTTAAATTATTTACTGTCTTATAAACTTTCACAAGACCATATTGAAACTTTTTTTAGTGCTGTTAGAATGAGAGGGGGTCATAACAATAACCCAACTTGCAAACAGTTTTTTACAGCTTATAAAAAACTTCTTGTACACAATCAAGCAACAGGATCACAGTACGGAAATTGCCTAGCAATGTTAGATCCCACTGAACTATCTGTAGTTAATGTGGGACCCGATTCTATTACAAGCCAAATTAATGAGACAGATGAAGCTATAGTGGTAGAGCATGACCACTCATATTTTCAATCATTAAAACGTTTATCCCCTTTGGTTGAAAACATTAGTGAGTATATAGGAGGATTTGTTGTAAAAAAAACTTTGAAAAAAATTAACTGTGCTATTTGTCAACAGTCTTTGTATAAAACGTTTACTAATAATATATTAATTAATTTGAAAGACAGGAATGATGCATTAATAAAACCATCTAGAGATGTAGTAGACATTTGTTTAATAGCTGAAAGGGTTTTTAGAAGTTGTGACAATATTTTCAAAAATAATATTAAAAATAGTTTATTCACTAAAATAAAAAGACATATATACAGCAGTACCAAAAAAATTTTTCAGGAATTAGATGATCATTGTTTAAGTCAAAATCTATTTAATAACCATAGAGACCAATTAATAGCACTTATTATTTATATATATTTGGATGTCAGATTACACCATGCAGCTAAAGAATCTAATCATAACAAAATTAAATTGAGGCAAAAATTAACAAAATTAATTCTTTTTCGCAATGAATAATAGTCATCAACTACTTATTTATTTATTTGTAATACCTATATACCTAATGGACACACCAATACTTTTTTTTATTGAATTATTTAAGACTATTATTATTATCATTATTATGAATTTACTGAATTACCTATTGAGAAACAGTTTTATAAACATTTAAAATTTAATTATACTATAGTACTATACAATATTATTTTTTATTTTTATTTTACAAACAAGGCCTCGACTACAAAAGTCATTGGTCGCACAATATAATTATTTTATTAACTTTTTAATGTACAAACATAATATAATATATCCTAGGCCCACAATGATATTTAATTACCTTTTTGTGTTTAAGTCTTGATTACATGAATAAATTTTTAACTTTTTAGTACAACATTTCGTTTCTTCATTTCTATACCATTCCAGTGTTCGATACTCAGTAGGCACTAGCCTGAGTTGTAGGCAGTTCATAGAATAATACTATAATAGTATAATACTATAATAGTATATAGGTAGTGGAGTTTTAATTTTAAGGCAGTCACAGTCCGCAGTAGTTGTTTTTCGAGCGCCAATATTATAACAATAGTTATTGTTTGGACATTTAAAAAAATAATTTTGTTTCGAAGAATGGGCAACACTGCATCTCAACTTCTCATGACCGTACCAGTACATTGGGTAGGATAAGGATGTTCCGTCTATAAGTATAAGGTCTATGCTTTTGATATAATAAACCAATCTGATTGGTTCCACTCTTGGCCACCATTTTATTTCGATAGTTAAACAATCGTGATTTCAATAGTGAAGTGGTTCTACCATGTATTATAATACGAGCGGATCAAAACCACCCTGATCCATGCACATTATTATCAATTCTCCATTATCTCTATAACAAAACATTTTTCGATTAATGCTCTTATCATTTCCTCTGATCATTTTACTATATTTTCTGGATAACGTACAAAAAATAATTACTATTGTTGAGTTACCGTTGAGTACTGTTTTATATAATTATTAACTTTTTTTGGGCAATATGGATAAAAAAACAAAACAAAAGGGTGAAAACTGTTGCCATATATGTGACAACAATTTTCCTAAACCACAATACTACGAAGACATATCGACGATATACATAAAACACTTGGAACTTGTTCAGAGTAAGTTATTTACAAAAAAACTAGGGAACCATCTCGAACATTAAGTAGAATGCCTACTGGTGGGGGTATTTCGTAAATATGAATTCAAGTACAATTAACTAAAAATTTGTTTCTTTTAGTGATGAACAAGTTCCTTGTTTAGTTGTAAGTGGATACAAGTTACCTAACATTTTGTATCTAATTAATTCTAATGACAAAAGGTGGCACTAGTGATGATCAAGTACCTTGTTTAGTTGTAGGTGGATACAAGTTACATTAACATTTTGTATCTAATTAATTCTAATGACAAAAAATACAAGATTTAGATAGGAACTTTGAAATTTACGTATTTACTTGTTTCCTATGTTTTTTTCTTCAAGAAAATACTGATATCTACTGCTAAATATTTGTTTATATGAGGGGTTCACGAAAAAAGTGTACAATGTAAATACACATTTAAACTACTACTTGGGCTTGAAAGTCAATGTCAAGAAAAATATGTATTAATTATTCAAATGCCTCGATAAATAATACTTTTTCTAATTAATTTTAATGCATTTACCTAAGTTTTTATTTTATAAGTAAATCAAATTTCGATATTAAATAATAAATCAAATGATCAAATTAATAGTATAATTCTCTTTTTATGAAAAATAATATTATATTTTAGATATTAAATGTTATCTGTTAGTTATAGTGATAACGGAGAATTGATAATAATGTGCATGGATCAGGGTGGTTTTGATCCGCTCGTATTATAATTACCTTGGTTAAAAGCACGATTAAAGATATACAGGTTGCACATCGCCCTATAGTAAACCGCTTCCAGACTGATTTACAAAGTGACTATAAAAATCAGCTGTTAATAATTAACCAGTGGCGCCCATGTGACGAAATTTAGAACTAATTTTAAACTATATTACATATTATTATGATACGAAGGTAATATAGATATAATATATTTAAAAATTTACCGCCTTTTTATGTATTTTAATTTTGATTTTATGATATAGTATAAATAAGATTTAGTATTAATATATATCTTTAACCATATGTTTATGAGTATTTCGGTATTCGTAATATTTGTTATTAATCGTGAATCGGTATTCTAGTAGCTTGTACTAGTGTCAAGTGTTAAACTTGTTATATTATTGTTTAAAATGACTTGCTGTGTTCCTTCATGTAAAACAAAAAATAAAAGTACCTTCTCAGTTCCTAAAGATAAAACTTTGTTGTATCTGTGGGAACAATCGATTGGCTTTCAATTAAAGCCAATTTCAAGAATTTGCGAATTACATTTTGAGACGGATGATATTATAAAAACATGGGAATCTGGTCAAGGTATAAGTAAATATATTGTAAGTATTAAATATCAATTTTATTTTATTAATAAATCCTCAATATTATAATTATTAACAGTCTTTCTTTCTCGACAGATATGTCGAAAAAGATCAAAACTTCGTCCAGGAGCAATTCCAAAAAATTTTAATTTCACTGAAAGTGTCGATAGTACAAGTTTGGACTTACAAAATTGTAACATCGATGAACTAAGTGGTCCATCACCAAAAAAAATGAAGGTATTACTATTTTCATTTACACTCATTGACTATTATTTTTTTTATAATTGATAAATACTTTTTTTAGATTTCTGAAGATGCTTATAGTGTAGCACAAGATCATTGCTATACTGCAAAATCTCCAACTAATACGGCCCCAACAGAAATTAATAAGGTTAAATTCTAAAATACTTCACATACATTTAGTATTCTGCTCAATTAATATAACTTATTATGTACTTGCTTTTGGGTTTAGATATCTTCAAAAAGTTCAAACAATTTAGAATTTTTTAATTTATTAATTTGATCAACATTCCATACAAATGGTTCTTCAATAACAGTCATAAACCGGGAATTGGTGAAATAATTGGATTTTGTAAGCTTGGTGAATTTAAAGAAGATTTATTTAGATCATTGGAGAAACAACTGGTGCTAACTGAAGGTAAATTTGTGGACTTACAATTTTTAAACTAATACTCATTATTTTGAAACTGGTAATTATAGATTTAAATATATTTATACAAGTAAATGGTAAAGAAGTTGCAAAAACTAAATTAGGGCTTTCACAAAATTATATACCTGAATGTATGGATGATATAGAAAATGTATTGAAATTATTAGACAGTGCTATACTATGTCAGGGTGTGGAATCAATAAAAACATATGATGACATACAATCAACATTGGGTCCTAAATGTGAGAAATTGTTTGATCAGTGGCACCACTCAAGCTGTACACAAATACTAACTAATGGACAATTCTCTAGATCTAGGTAACTATTTTAATCTTATATTAATTCCAAATTTAATTTATGCTTAAACTATATTTAATATAAATTTATAAATTTTATAATTTTAATGTTTCAGTAATATATGTTTGTGGTGCAGACGTTTGTTGTATATTATTAAGAACAAAGAATCTCGAAAGTCTAAAAGACCATATTTTTCTCCAAATAAAAAGAAAACAATCAAGCAGCTAAAAAAAGTTAAATATGTAATTAAACAGAAATATTCAAGAGCGTCTTTAAAAATTGCTCGTTTACAACGAGATTTGATTGAAATTCAAAACAAGATGAAAGACATTTCAGATTCCAGTCTTAATAATATGCTAAATGCTTCTAATATACCTGAGTGCCAGACAAAACTAGTCCAAGAAATATTTAATGCTGCAAAAATGAAAAATCCTAAGAATCGGAAATACAGTGAAAACTGGATGTTACTATGTCTGTTATTTCAAATTAGGTAAGATTATACTTTTAATCCTATTTTGCAAAAACTATATTTTTTAATTTCATAATATGAATTATTGATATTATAAAATATTAATTATAGATCACCTAGTGGTTATAAATTCTTAAGAGAACAGAATATATTACGCTTGCCATGTGTCAACTCAATAAGGAAACATTTACTAGCTGTGAAAATAGGATGTGGTTTTGATCCAAATTTGTTCAAATTATTACAAAAAAAATTTTCAGCTAAAACTGAGAATCAAAAAATAGGAATTCTGCTGTTGGATGAAATGTTTTTAAGGGAAAGTCTTGGCGTTAATAGTCGAACCCTTACCTATTCTGGACTTGAGGATTACGGAGATGAAATAAAATCAAACAAAAATTCAAATCTAAAAGCCAATCACGGATTGGTTTTTATGTGGCAGAGCTTAGCCGATAATGTAGTACAACCAATAGCAGTTTTTGCATCTCATGGGCCTGTAAAAGGTATTTATTTTCAATACATTTTGAATACAATATTATAAAAATTAATACACAAAATATACAAAACTGTTTATTTACTCCTTACTGAGAAAGTTAAGTGTTGTTTTGTTTTTGTGTTGGATGATGGATCTAAAAAATTTTAACAATTTAATTATGATTTAACAAAAATATTACCATGTGTATTATATTTTATTCATAATTAACATGCTTAACTTTTATAAATGTATTATGATGTATTCTAGGTATTAAATCAAGCAATAATATGGTTAAATAATTGGGAAAATAATTTAGAAAATAAATTGATTGACGCAAAAGATTTTTTGACACAGGCAACATGTGATGGTTTAAAGATAACGTTAAAGTCCACTTTAGATTTAGTCAACTATCTTTTAGATGAATGTAATTTTGCTTATGTCTTAACGGCTAAACTAAATCAAGACAGTTTGGAGGTAAATAATAATATAAGATATATTTAATATTAAACTAACTATAAACTAATTATATATATAAATTGCTATTGATATTTTCTAAAAATGAATTGTTTATTTTTGATAGAAGTTTTTTGGAATTCTCAGACAAGTATCGGGACCTAATGACCACCCTACTGCCCCTACTTTTCTACAGCTGTACCGTATGCTCTCTGTATACTCAGCAATCAAACCTCCAAAGTCTGGAAATTGCAGTATACTTGAAGGTTTCAAACATTTATTTTATTTTTATATAAATATGAAATATTTTAAGATTATTATGATGTTTTCTATCTTTCAGATACGTCACCAATAATATCAATGCAAGATTTAAAAGATATTATTAGTGATCCAGAAAATATTTCTCAGAGAGAACTAAAAGTTGAAGAATTAAAAAAAAAAATTGATGTAATTATTGAAGATGGATGTTGGGACTGGGACGATGTTTTGTTAGATCATGATTATGCAGATGCAACAGTATTTGATTGTGTAGTCTATTTTTTGGCAGGGTAATAACTTAAAAACCTCTAAACATCTTTTATAAAATAGTATATATTAATATTTATATAAATATATTTAATAGATACATAACAAAGCGTTTAGTTAACAAAACTAAATGCTTAATTTGCATTGAAGGCTTAAAGAACTTAAATACGTCATCAGTAGGTCAAGAGGCTGCTTTAGTTCAAGCAAAAAGTAAAGGATACCTTACACATCCAGATCACAATTTGTTTATAATTTTAAGATATCTGGAAACTTGTTTTGAAAAACATGCTAACTCAAATGATGTGTTTAAACTTACTTATAATGAGTTCTTTAATAATAAGTTTGAGCTTAAATTTTCTTGTTCAATGCATAAAGTTGAGATGTTAACTAACATTTTTTCTTATTATATTACAATGAGAATGAGACAGTACACTTATCTAGAAAATCAAAAAAACCTAAAAAAAAATAAAACTAAAAAAAAGTTGTCTAAATTAGTTAAATGTTAAAATTCTTGTTTATACCTATTTTTTTTTTTTTTGATAGTATTTATGTTTATACAGTTAATCATTCTTATTCTTTATATTACTTAATACTAATGTTTTGAATCCAATATTATTATGTACTTTTCACATATTGTTTGTTAATTGGCATATAAATATATAATGAATACTTATCTTATAAGCGTTAAAATATGTTTTACATTTATTAGAAAGGGCATACTATACTATTTACTGTTTATTTTTATTAATAATATGAATTATGAAATATGAATTTAATATTTATGAATTTATTATCGTCATTCGTCAATCGTCATTGATAAAATTATTAAAATTGCTTAGATAAAACATTAATTATATGGAATATTTCCGCTTGGAGCGCCACACATTAATTATTGCAATAGTCATTTCGTATTTCACCTTATCAGTAGTCGATGTGCAACCTGTATATCTTTAATCGTGGTTGAAAGTGACTTATTAGTTATTGCAAATTGATAATCAGCTAAGTGATAACAAGATTTGATAAGAATTTGGTATCGGAAATTATCTTGTCGCGAGACGCCTGTCGTAGAAACGGTCGGTACAACTTACGGGCAGAGACAGAGGTTTACGGCGGCCGTGTTAAGTAAATATTCGCGTAGACGGAGCGGCGGCACGATATCATTTAATCTACATATTATATAACTCACAAGAGTACAAGACATTTAAATAGGTACATAAATATTATGATAACAGGTGATAGTGTGTGTGTGTGTGTGTGTGTGACCGGCTATCCTCGCTGCCCGACAATGATAAATTTATATGATGCGTATATAATATTATTTAATCATGTTGCGGCGGCAACAGTATTTATAGACAATACCTTCTATGTATAGTGTACACAATACAAACTGATCATAAAAAAATAAAATAAATATATTTATTATTTAAATGTATGATATAGGTCCTACACTATACTTAGGTGGGTAATAATAACCTAATAATAACAAAATAATCACATAAATAGGTAGGTATAACATTAATATAATATTACTATTATAAGTTATAATATACCTCCTGCTTGGGTAAAATAGTTAATGAGACTATGATGATATTAATGAGACTAATGATTCTGTTAGTGGGCAGTTATGTAGTTATGACAATTTTTCTTTGATACTATGGTATTTAAGAAAATTATATAAAATATATTATTATGATGAGCGTAGTAATGAGATAGCTATATTTTGTAATTACCTATTGGTGTTACAAAGCATTTATGTTTTAAAGTGTTTAAATTGATTAAAATTGGTTGAACTTTTGGAATAATTTCTTTGATATAAAATATTTTTGTAGTATCTGATGTAAATGGATAATCATACATGGGTGAATAATTAAATTTAGTTGCTTCAATTTTAATCTGACCATTAAAATATTTTATTATTTTGGTTACTTCAACTATATCATTGTTTTGCAACATAAAATATTTATCTTTAACATTTTTTGAACTCACCACAAATTTTTCTAACGCAACTTCTTCATACATAGTTTCAGTTAATGAATTATTTAAATTAGTATTACATTTTGACTCTCGTTTCAATATTGGATATATAATTGGAGATATAGTTTTATTAATTTTAACGTCAACTTTTTCCATGTGCATCTTGGAGAGAAAATCTATAATTTTTACAACTTTTTTTTAAAAACTGTAAATAGTTTTCATACTTGAATGCACTAAATAAATCTAAATCACCATGTATTAAAAAAAAAAAAATCAGCTAGATGTATCAGACCATAAACATTATATCCAACATATCCTTCACTATAATAAGAACCATATTCATGTACAAATCTTTTTAACATGTCTTTAGCCAAATTATTCTGAGTACAACAATTTTCTGAAGAAATAAGAAGTTTTATAGCATAGTTTAAAAGCATAAAATGTTTAAAGGACCATCCAACTCAAAAAATTGTCTTAAGTTTAAATTATAGTACATACTATCATAGGCGCCAGGTTTTAAAAATATCATGGGGGGCTCACTATTTTATGAACACTTTTACTGAAGTTTTACATAAATATTTTCGTTTTATTTAAATTGTTCGTTAAACAATTAACTATTAAATTTTAGTTATTTGTTGTTTTGTATGTTATAAAATTATAATAGTATTATCATAAAAAATCGTAAGACAAAAATTAAAAATGCCAATTTATTTTGAAAGTTACATATTATTTTATAAAGAAAATGTATTTTTCCGCATTTTGGAAATGTTGATGAATTGGTTTGCGACAGTTTCTACATTTATTTCTTCATCACGGTGAACATGAAGAATGGAAATACCATTCAACCGTGTTTGACTCATTGTACTCCTGATGTATGTCTTAAGTCTGCGAAGGGCAGAAAATGATCTTTCTGAAGTACATGATGACACTGGTATAAATAACATTATGCATAATATTTTGTTTAACTCTGGTAACATTTGACGAAGTGCATCATCGTTTTTCATTAGCTTCAAGACATCATCAACATTTTTAATTGGCACCTTTCTCGATTTTGTTACATATAAAAACATGGTTCCATATCAAAATATCTCCGCAAAAATATCTCCAACAAAATATCTCTAGTCAAAAATATCTCCATTTCAAAATATCTTCGATTTAAAATATCTCCAATACAAAATAAATCTCCTGTTAAAAATATCTTTAATGGAAACATCTCCCATGAAAATATTTTATATTAATATTGATTTTTTTATAACTAGAATTATTAAAAGTACATAAAAAACTGATGTCTAAAGTGATTACCGAAGTAAGTACATTTTCTAGTAAAAATGTTTAGAAAATAATCCGAAAGGCAAAAATAACTAATCACAATATTACACTGTCACACTGACCAATTTGTATTATCTGATATATTTTTCACGATTACGAGTGCGATTACAAACGATGGTAAACGATTTTATCGAGGTAACAACTGTATCGATACGACAGTGTGTGTTGTATCGATTAACCTAGGTCCAGTTTCACTATTTAAATTTAAAAATGCCTCTATAATTTATTATAAGTCAAAAAGGCAACAAATTATTATTGCATAATGGATATCTTCATACGTTCTATAAAGAAGGTGTGAAAAAATTCATTTGGCGTTGTTCTGAGTAAAAAACATACAAGTGTACTTCATGCTATACAACCACTCGAGAAGAAATAGGTAATTATTATATTATTAATTATTAAGGCCTGGATTTAGTTGTATCATTTACTAAAAATTAACCATAGAATCTACACATTACAAAACGTTGACATTTATAATAAATTTAAATTTTATAACGTCTAAACATAATATACATAAAACAAATTAATACAACTTAACTAAATTAGCTCTTTTTTAATTTTTAATTTAATTTTAGGGGATATAATAAAAGTATCTGTTCATTACTCACACCAGATATTGCTAAAGTAAAAATTAAAAAAATAAATATTACAAATATAAAAGAAGAAGAAAAAATGTCTGTATTAACTCCCAGAAATTTAGTAAAAGACTGTTTAAAATCGTAAGTCAATACAACGAAATTACACTAATGAATTATTTGAGGGAAATTTCCCACAATCTTAAATTTTAACTTATATCTTGATCGGATTTTATATTATAAATACAGTGAACTATATTACAATAAAACATTTATTTTGTACTTGTAATAAATAATAATAATTACATATTATTTTAAAAATTACATATTATGATTACAATAAAATATTTTTAAATACTAATGTACTTACTGCGGTAATCACTTTAGACATCAGTTTTTCATCTGCTTTTAATAATTGTAGTTATAAAAAAATTAATATTAATATAAAATATTATAAATATTAAAATATTTTCATGGGAGATATTTCCATTAAAGATATTTTTAACAGGAGATATTTTGTACTGGAGATCTTTTGAACTGGAGATATTTTAAATCGGAGATATTTTTGACTAAAGATATTTTGTCGGAGATATTTTGACCGGTCACCGCTCACATATCCCTGTGTAATTGCAATTTATCACCATCAAAGTCAGATCCATAAAATTTAATTATATGTTTATGTGAAGTTTCTTTCCCAATGATGAATCTTTCAACTAACGATAAATGTTCAATAACATTTTGTTGATTCCGCCTATCTAATGAAGCTAATATTACATCAATAATCTCATAGAATGAAGCTTTATATTCTTCTCGAAAGTCAGAAAATATATGTGGTTCGCTCCCTTCAGTAAATCGTTTTGGTAGTTTTCGGATTCTAGTTTTATCTTTTTCTTCCAAACACAATTCATTTGACTTTAATTTTGAGTCATTCCATAAAATATCAAAACCAGAATTCCTTTGTTCCTGAATTGATGCTCTTACATTTTTAATTTTATTTTGTGCTTCTTGGAAGCTTAATGTTACTCTTTGCAACTCTGCATTTAAAAGTTCTACACGATCAAAAATAGAAATCATAATATTTGTAAGAAATAAAAACTCAAATTTAGTTATCTGATTAAGAAATCCCTTTGTTGTCGCTCCAACTTCACTATTCTCATTCGAAAGAGTTTTTAAAAATTCAATCAATATTGCATAATTTAAATATACAGTTTTTAAAGAAACTATTCTCATACACCATCTTGTTGGGCAAAATGGTCTAAGAAATTTTGATGGTAAATTGTTTTCAATCTGGAGAACATTAAAAATTGATTGTCTTTTTGGTGAATTTCTGACAAATATTATCATAGACTTCATTAAAACCAAAAATCACGAGATTTTTCTACTGTCATCATGGCATCTTGCACAACTAAGTTCAATGTGTGTGCTGAACAATGATCATACAATGCCCGTGGCTCTATGTCATTTATTCTTTTTTAAAGCACAGTAATATGTCCACTTACTTTAGCAGCACCATCGTAACATTGTCCTCGACAATCCGACAAATCCAATTCAAATTGAGATAAAACATTAGTTAATAATGAATACAACGTTGCAGCATCAGTTAATTTGGATTCAAAAAATCCCAGAAATAATTCAAAAACATTGAATTTTTTATCAACTATTCTGAAACATATTGATACCTGTTTTTTACAAGATCTATCAGAAGTTTCATCAAGTATTATGGAAAAGTATTTACAATTTTTAATTTGCTCAATTAAGTTTTTTTGCACATACTTTGATAATAATGATATAATTTCGTTTTGTATGTCATGTAAGATCCATTTATACTTTGTACGATATAACCAATTTTTTAATTCCGAACAATCTTCAGATCTAAGAATAAGAAGTTGTTGTAAATTTGAGTTTTCATCATTATGACCTCTTAATGCTTATCCTTGTCTTGTTAGGTGAAGTATACAACTAAATATCTTCAAAAGAGCTAACTTGGACTGTTTCATTTCCTTGAGTTTGACTGTATGCAAGGAGTTATACAGTGTGTAACAGAAAGAACTGACCAAAAAAAAAAAAATTGATGCTACTTAAATGTATGACAAAAATTGTTGAAATTATATGATTAGTAAATAGTTTTAAGAATATACCCATGTTATAAAATTTTCAAAAATAATATTTTTAAAAAAGCTATTGCGTTCCAAATTTATTTTATCAAAAAAATATTGATATTTAAAAAAATTCTAAAAAATAAACTACTAGACTTAGATAAATGTTTTTACCATCCAAATCGTTCTTAAAATCAGATTCACAAGTTTGCTATTTTGAATTTATTCAAAAAAATTTAAGTCAAATTTAAAATTTTTTATTTTTAGTATAAAAAAATAAAAAAAATTTTTTTCCTCTTACACGTGTAGAACAAGTGGCTATAAATTATATATAAAAAAAAAAAATTAAAAATAATGATCATAACAAAGGTTATTCCAAAAGTCAGTTCTATCTGTTACACCCTGTATATACTAGTACCATTTTTATGAATTAAGTTTGATGAAACAGCCGCTTTATGAAATGATCCACCTGTAATTTTAATTATTTTATTTAGTTATTATGAATTTTTATTTAGTTATTTAGAAATTAACTATTGATTTAAAATTGTTAACATTTTATCGTTAACACAAATCATCACAAAAGGTGGGTAAGTGGATGTCGCTCTGCTGTAGTGTAGGTTACAAGTGGGTCACTGTATAATGGATGGTATTAAATTTGAATTCAATGATACAATATCATTGTATAAGAAAAACGATTCTGAGCGAAGACGGTATGTCAGTCTAGGTTTAAGACAAATTATATACATATCTATGGTATTAAAAAAAAATTGACCTATAATAAATTCCAAATTAATCATATCACATTATCACAATATCCATTAGGTACTTATAACACGTTATACATCAACATCAATAACAAATCCTGATACTATCATTGATATATAATAGTAAACTTTAGAAGTTTCAAGTAGGTACCCATGAATAATATTATATAATCACAACAAAATAACTAGGTTTTTTAATGTGTAATTTCGTCCAAATTTGAACATAAAATGACTATAAAAATAAACTGTGATTGTATATTTTTTAGATTTTTTGGTAAAAGAATTAACTAATTACGTGGAAACTTGTTTTAAACTTTCAATCCTTAGCTATAAAAACTGATTATTTTATAATTTATTAATTACGATGATTAATAATTTTCGAGATTTTGAAAAATTCTGTTAAAATTCGATGTTTAAATGCTTATAAAAAAAAACTGTGCCTATGTATTTTTAATATTTTTCAACTGATATTGTAACAATATATCAGGAGCCTTGTATTACATTTTTACACTTTTTGGCCCAATAGATAAAACTTTATTGATATTCATAGAAAAAAAAACTAAAAAAATTTAAAAATGAAAATATCCGTAAACAGCTCAAAAAGAGTCAAAATATTTTCAAAATTGTATGGTGTATAGGAAATGCTTATACAAACATTCAGTGAAATTTTCATGTATCTATAGTTATTCGTTTATGAATAACAATAAAATAAGGAAATCGCTACATGAGAAATCGAGTGAACATCCAATGTTGTAAAAATTTGAATTTCAAACGCTCATAAAAATTTAATTTGACTGTCCGGTAGAGATTTTTTTATTGATAAAGGTAGACAAACTTATGAGTAATCTTGTATTACATTTTCAAATCTTAGATTTAAAAAGAAAAATTTTTACGAATACTTAACTCAAAATAATTTGCTAATTTTAGTGATTTGTCAATTTTTGAACTTTAAATGCTTATAAAAAAAAACTGTGACTAACGATTTTTAATATTTTTCATCTGCCTTTGAAACAATACAGTAGGAACCTTGTATTAAATTTTCAAGTATTTCTACTCAACAAACAAAGTTTTATTGATATTTTTAGAAAAAAAACTAAAAAAAAATGGAAAATGAAAATGTCCCTAAACAGTTCATAATAAATCAAAATATTTTGAAAATGTTATCGTGTATAGAAAAGGCAAATATAAACAACCAGTCAAAATTTCATGTTCCTGCAGTCATTTGTTTTAAAGTTACACCAAAAACCAAATTCGATTTTGTCAAAAACCTATTTTGCGTAAAAATTCCCGTTTTTCCTTCATTTTTATGTTGTTTTTCCCGGCGCTTGTGAAAACTATTGGGAATTTTAAATTTTGACCTCCCCAATGCACCAACGATAATCACTCTCCAATCGAACAAGATACTGAAGTCGAAAATCGAAGCATTATTTCGACTACTTATCGTGTACACAGACACAAAAAAAAAAAACACACATCATTGTAAAATCAATAGGTACATTCATCGTTTCACTCAGAATCTAAAATACTTCAATAAGCCGATGTTAGTCACATTTTATTTAATAAAAATAAACAAAAAAAAACATAAAAAAAAAAAAAATAATATACAAATTAAATAAAAATTAATAATTATAATATATCAACATACTTTCTCTTTACTTGAAATTTGATTAATTGATGATAAATTATGTAAATCTTTGTAAAGCCTTTTCCCAATTTGAAAACCCATTAACTGTAAAAACATCTTTAAAACTCTAGTCAACCAGTCATAATATTATTAATTTATTTTAAATATTTTATAGGTATTTGGTCAACTACCGTAAGACCGGGTGAATAGAAACTGAGGGGTGAATAGAAACACTTTTTGGTAATAACTTTTAATAATTGGTATCTTGAAATAATTTTTATTTATGTGGATTTTTCTTCCATTAAATAATTGGTAATGTCGTTAACAACGGTACACAGTATTTACTTTTACCTCCAAACCAAAATTATTATCTTTAAAATATTTATTTTGATAAGAAGTATTGAGGACATAACAATAAATAATTATATTTAAATATCAAAATCCTAGTTTTAAATTTTGTAACCGAAAATATTTTTCAAAGTTGAACTTAACATGGAGTTATCTGGTTCTTGATCAGAAAAGTGCTAAATTTCAAAACTTAAATATATAATTATTTTTTTTTTCATGATTAAACAGTTTATTTTTAAACATATTTTTACAAAGATTTCTTTGATTACATATGAAGATTATAGTTTGTTATAAAAATAACAGATGGGTAAGCATGGAAAAATAAAATTGTGTTTTGGAAATATTATGTTCTTTTATTTTTTTATTTTTATATAAGTTTCATAATAACACCTTATTTAGAGCATAAACATTTAAAAAAACAAATAAAATATATATTAGGTACCTTCCTAAAAGTTAAGAATAAATAATAATATCCCAAATATTCATCTTGAATAGGCAAATCTTAGTGAATCTTTACTGGAACAAAACAAAAGATTTATCTAATTAAAACCAATTTATTCTAGTACTATTAATTTGAATAATTATTGAAGTCTACATTTTGTTTAAAATTATAATGATTTTTATAATCACTAATCGTTCAACTTAATAAATAAGGAATAATATCTTTTCATTCCTGAAAAACACATTTTTGTTATTAACATCATAATAAAATAATATTAAAGTATTTATATTAGGTACTTACCTAAAAGTTAATAATAAATAATAATATTCAGTATTATTAACCAAACATTCATCTTAAAAAGACAGATAATCTTTGTATTACATATTATAGTATACATGATTGGTATTTCATCATTCCTGAAACATAAAAATTATATTTATTTAAAAAGGGTGTACAAAATAATGAATATAATACATTTTAGTATATTATTGTTACCTTTTATTAGTGTATGTTGCTTATAGTTCATCATCTGAAGTTAAACGGTCCTCTACAGTTGTATCCACTTCTTCAAGTCCCTGATAAAAGTATAGATATTCTTGTGGAACATATTTTGCTGCTAGACTGTGTACGTCAATTAATTTGGCAGGTTTTATTTTAATTTTTGAGTGATGGAGCTGTTGAAGATTCTCAAATGACAATGTGCCTATCATCTTATTTTCGTCCATAACAAAATGTTCTTTTCCATTTGAATTAGCAATAACTTTACAAAATAGTCCTTCTTTTGAATATTTAAGTGTACGATATGCCATTATTGTAAATTTTTGTTTATTAGTACTAATTAAATATTTTTTAAAAAATGGTTTAAGATATTCAGAAAAGTTGTAAATAATGTTTTGTGTTACATTAATAACATTGAATTTTGAAGGACAAACTTGTTTTACCATTTCTTGATATTGGTTTGGCAGAAATACTTTTTCAATTTTTCTTCTTCTATGCTCTATTTGACCAAAACAGCGGTCGCATGGTAAAAAACTGTGTCCTGGTTCAGGGAATCTTTGAACAACAGTTTCTAAACCAAACATATTTTTTTGAATAATAGAATAAATATATTGAATGATGGCGTTGTTTTTATTTTGAGAGCTACAATTGTCAGAAAATAGGTACACAGTTTTCACTCCTTGCTGTAATATATTTTGAAAGTAATAATGAAGAAAGCTTATAACTTCATTCTATCCTTTTTTGGCCAACAATTCATCATACATAAAAAAATGTGAATGACGAGTTTCTCCTGAGTAAATACAAAAATTAAAACACCATAATTGTCTTTTGTAAAACACATCCCCACAAGGTATGTGGGGAAGTGGCATATTTTGCTCAAAGTCAAAAGACAAAACATCAATATTTGGGTCAGTTCTAGCTCTAGTTGATAATTCTTTTAAATCCGTGTAAAATAACTGTGCTCTAGTTAAATGTATGTCTTTTTCAGTTTCAAGATTTGATTTGATTTGATTTGAACATATTTTTCACCTTCTATTAAATTTTGCAATTTGTCACAGGTCTGGCAGGTATCAGACCTTGGAGAGCCAAAAGATAAGTTGAAATTAGTGTTAAAGTGGGGGCTGAAAAAAATCATACTTCACTACTGGTTTTACTTGTTCCCCATTTCTAAATGTTTGACAAAATTCTGGTTCATATTTTTGTATGTACATATTGTACATTTTACTAATATTTAATTCTGGAGATAAATATTTTCTTTCATTAATGTCTTGTCTACTGTAATGAGAACTGCGTTTGGGAAAACTTTGAATGTGGGTGTTAATTTGAAATAATATTAAATCTGAAACTCGATTTGGGCGAACAGTATGTTTACCACCCTTATCCCTAGGACTGGGATTGTTTTGTTTTAAATTATTACATATTCTGTCAATGACCGATTTACCTAAGCCAAATAAAGAGCAAAATGCTTTTTTACAAACAATATGTTCTTTATCACCAACACGTACTTTATAATAGCTAGAAAATGATCTTTTAGTACAATTTTCATTTTCAGATCTATGTCTTACAATACTTTTAATACCAATTAAGCCTCCCAAGAATATGTCTTGCTTTTCTTTATCTCCAATTTCATTAAAAGTATTAATGAGAGTAGTTTTCTCTTCATCTGAAAATTTGTCAAAACATATCCATTTGCACATACAGCCAGGTCCAGTTTGTCTCTTTTTTATTGGTTTTTGCCTTAAACTAACACATGCAATACCCTTTGCTCGTTCAGCTTTTGCAATTTTTCTTACCCACAATGATGTATTTACTTTTCTCCTTTTTCCTCGGATGCCTGAAGTTGGTTCTTCAGTATCTGAATTATTGACTACAACAACATCATTTTCTGGTTCTTGAGTACATATTTCGGACTCTGAATCACTTTCTAATAACTGTATACCGTCAAGAGAATTGTCACTATTATTTTGGTTAGGAATAAAATCAGGATCTATAAAATCATCGTCAAAATCAGAAAATGATTCATTTAATGCTAACTCAATGTCATTTTCTTCCATAATTGCGGAGTTAAAATGTTCGCGTAGGTATAACACAATAAAAATACTATAACATGTCTAACACGAATCACGATTTACATTTCACATTCCACGAGTCACCAATTTAACATTAAATCTCTATCCCCGTTTCTTAGGTGATTTTTAACATCAGTGATAAAGATTTCATCAAAACAAACGCGATTATATCAGTGTGACCAGCTGGGCACAACAACCAGATAACTCCGGAGTTATCCGTTTGTTGCACCGAATTACAAAAATGGATAAATCCATTTTATGCATTATCTCCGTATATAATAATCGGAGATATACTGTTGCTGCACCCGTAGATAAAGAATTTTTTTATTGTTATTATTCAATCAAAAAGTAAATTTCCAAAAAAAGTGGAGTTATCCCTTTAGTTCTTTTAATTTTTAATGATTGTATTGTGTGTTTAAAGACCCAAATTTTAAGGTATTAATATGCTGTTTTGTTATTTCCATTCCAAAGTTATTAACTTTTGAAGTTGAAAAGTGTTTCTATTCAGCCGGTTTTACGGTACAACATTACATTTAAAACTAATCTATAGATATTAACAAAATATTAACACAAAATGACAAAAAAATACAACAAACCAGAATACCAGAATAAGCTGATGTTAGTTTGATACAAATTAAAAAAAAAATTAAAAAATTAAAAATTATATCTAATTGTAACATGAATATAGGTACTTAACTTCATGTGATGAAAATCTTTGTAAAGTCTTTTTCCAATTTGAAAACCCATTAATTGTAAAAGTATCTTTCGAATTCTGATCAGTAATTGAATTTATTGGTAAAACAATGTTGTTATTTACAGCGTTTTTACATTCCGTACAATATACTTTGTCTAATATACTGTTATACATAATCCATGGATAATTAACAATCCATTTTTCTTGAAATGTTCTATCACTCCTATCTTTCACTTTTTCCTGTTGTACAGGTAATTGAGAGTAAAATAATAATTTATTTAAAATTGTTCTTTTCATTTTTAAGTTACAATAATGAATAAACTTATTTCTACATTATTATTTACCTCCTCTGGCTCCTTATTAAGATTTCTATCTGTATCATTAATGTCGTCATTACTCATTACATTCGTTATTAACGGTATTTTTAGTTTGAACACCAAAATAGTAAATACTGAAGTAGAGAATTTTGTTTCCTCGTTATAATCTCTTATATTATAAAACACAAATAGTCTCCGTTTTTTGCCACCAGGGGCGACGTGACAAATAAGGAATTCCGCGTTTCTTCCATGACGACCAATCATATTACTTCTCGCGCGACGCAGCAAATAAGCAACTCCGCGTTTCTTCCATGACGACCAATCATAATACTTCTCGCGCGTTCGCTAAATTTTCACGTCGCCGCTCGCTTATCTCGATTATACCTATGATTTCCCATGACTTACTACAAACATTACCTATGATTACACATGATTACCCCCAAGGTGTTTACCCCTAGATTATAATATACTAATATTGTATTACCAAGTTTAATTACTTCAATTCATACCTTATAACTGTACTAACCTTTACATTGGGTTACACGTATTAATTTTTTGCAATATTTCAAACAAATTTCAAAACAAGAAAACTACATTTACATAGGTATTATATGTTATAAAATTATAATAAATTGAATTTAAATTCCTCCAAAGGTGTAAAACTATGCTTAAAATATTGTACTATTTGTCAACATTTTTATTATGTCGTTGGCATGCAAAAATGTATTATACATGATTTATATATATTATATTAATAAATACATAGGTATCATTTATATTCTACTTTTTAAAACTTTATTATAGGACAACTGTATGCAGCGTTTTGTACAGAGAAATTCTACAAGCGATATAACTGTACAATGAAGTCTACAAGAACTTAATGAACATCGAATCCGATCTGTGTGACACATGGTTTATAAGCAGTCGTAAGTACGACTTGCGGAGGAGAGAAAGTTCGACGACCTCCACTTGGTTCTCTCTGGATGCGGATTTTATAATGAATACGTAACTGATGTCGAACATGCATTTAACTTGGCTGCGACTCGCACACTAGATGGTAAATTATTTAGAATTATTTATGTACTCTAAAAATATATCAGCAGATATTTGTATGCATTTGTATTATTTCAGAAACATTATACTAAAAATGACTATCAATGCAGATGTAACAGAAACAGAATCATTGTTGTACTGCTACTAAGGCATAGGGGAAATTCGACAACCTCTACGTGCTTCTCTCTTGATGCGGATTTTGTAATGTATTTGTATCAAATGTCAAACATGCATTTAGACTGACTGCGACTCGCACACTAGGTGGTAAATTATTTAGAATTATTTATGTACTCTAAAAATATATCAGCAGATATTTGTATGCATTTGTATTATTTCAGAAACATTATACTAGAAATGACTTCATCAATGCATATGTAACAGAAACACAACAAAAAGATTCATCATTGTATCAATACTGATTACTAATTTGTAACTAAACCATACTCTATTAATCATAAGAGTTACTACAGCTAACACTTAATTATTATTCATTGTTAATTTGTAACTGATGTAGCACATGCATATATATATATGTATATATACATTTAAATTATATTATACAATAATATTACCTGTATAGAAAATGCTTAAGTGTTAATATTGTATGTTTTGCTCAAATATAGAATGAGACAATTAGTTAGATTATATAAACAAGACAAAAGTTTATTATTCATAAAATTTATTTATTTATGAATGTTACAAAAAATCAGTTAGAAAAAATATATAATAATATAAATAAATAAAATATGTTAGTAAGGTGTATAAAAATTTTTTTTTATTAAAAAGCTGAAACAAAAACACAATTAATTATTATTTTAATATAATATTGTAAAACAAGTGTTAATAATAATAATAATATTCCTTCCAGTATCTGTGTTATTGCTCGGGCCGTTTTCGTTTTTGTCTTCGTCACCGGGGCCACTTTTGACGACGGGGCTTTTGTCGTCGTCGCCGTAGCCGCTTTCGTCGACGGGGGCCGTTTTTCCCTTTCCCTTTGGGTTTGGTGCCTGTAATTCAAATTCCAAATAATACAAAACTATAATAATTCCACATACATGACAATTGGTAAATATAATTAAACATTGTGAACTCACGTGTAGACTTGGGAGTTGGGACAACCGAAACTCTGGAACAGTTCAACTGTCGACTTTGAGCTTTCCCATAACGATATTCGTATTCCGTAGATGGCAAGTATAGGAAGCTGGTCATAACTGACGTCTGACACCGCGTTTCTGTGTCGGTTAACATGTTCGCGATATATGCGATAATAATCTTTGGAGGGCGCGCGGTGTAATAGTGGAGGGGGGAGGGTGTACGAGGCGACGACCGAGCCGTTGAACGACATCCACGGCACGTAGCGTTTCAACATCCGTGCAAGACAGTTGATCGTTGATCGCTACTTTTTTTTTCATCTTTTTGCACATTTCCCAGTCATTTAACAATTTGCTCTTTTATTTACTTCACTTCTTATTTCATTTTCATCTCTATCCAGTTTATTTACAGATACATTTTTCCAGGACACTTCGGAGACCGGTGAGTCCAAGTTTTTATACGTATATTTCACAAGTACCCGACGTGTGTAAACAAACTATTTGGTTAGGCATTAGTTTTTGGTTCGATTACATTATGTAATCAACAAACTGTTTTACGTGCCAATGTTTACCGATTACTTAAACTCCACCATGTCTTTATACGCTGTTTATGGTAGTATATAATATACTCTATTACACTCTATCGTTCAAAAGTCTAAATTCACGTATTTTTATCGTAGCGTCTGTATGACTCCGTAATCGGAAAAAAAAATCCCCGGCCCTAGAAAAAAAATCACCAGCTACAATATTACTCACAATCACATGCAAATGGTTGATCAAAAATATTTTGAACGTTAATTAGTAACTATAATTAATATTTAATGACAAATACGTATATTCTATTCTATTATATTGTTAAAAAAATTATAAAAAAATTAAAAATATTATAAAAATATTTAGAATGATCGATACGTCAATTAATAATACAGTTAAAAACATAGTATATAATATACATACAAAAATATTATACAAAATATAGGTACCTATATATTTTATGTTGGTATAATTCTGTAAAAATTGAATCCAATTAATTTCAAAATTGAAATCAATAATTAATTATTGTTTGATAATTATTTTATTATGATTATAGTTATTATTATTATTGATATTACCATTTACCATCTATATTTTAAATTTTTTATAATATTTCTATATACCTACTATGTTTTTAACTGTATTCTTTGACGTATCGATCACTCGAAATATTTTTATACTTTATATATTTGTGTACACTACACCTCACACAGCAATCATAAGTATTATTTGAAGTTTTGAAAACGTAATATTTTATTTCAGGGATTTAATTTTTACAGAATTATACCAACATAAAATGTGTATTAATATAGTATAGTAATATAAAATGTTGTTGTTAATTTTTCAAAAATTATTTATAGTTATTTATTTATATTATTTTATTACCTATAAATTGTATAATATTTTTGTATACTATGTGTTTAACTGTATTATTTGACGTATCGATCATTCAAAATATTTTTATATACTACACCTATTGGCTATTTGTAACGAGCCTTGTATTAAATTTTTATACTTTTTGACCCAACAGATAAAACTTTATTGATATTTATAGAAAAAAAAAACTAAAAAAATCGAAAACTGAAAATGTCCGTAAACAGCTCGAAAATAGTCAAAATATTTTCAAAATTGTATAGTGTTTAGAAAATGCTAATATAAACATTCAGTGAAATTTTCATGTATCTACAGTTATTCATTTTAGAATTACAACAAAATAAGGAAATCGCTATATGAGAAATCGACTGAATCTCCAATGTTGTAAAAATTTGAATTTCAAACACTCATAAAAATTAATTT